ATTACCTTGGATTCAGGTTGTGTTTTTTTGGGTTATGGACCCACCAAAACAAGGAAGTACTGGAACGGGTTACTTCTGGGTTTCGGCAGTCGCGCTTTATGCATGCGCAGAAGCGCCGAATCGCAACCCGCACATGCACAGACGCGGTGCTGTGGGTTGCGAACATGCCTCCTGCACGGATCACGTTCGCAACCCGAGCATCCACTGTAATGAATTAATGGTGTTTGGGATTCTGATTTAAAACTCCTACAGTCTGTACTGCAAACTGAGCACCGGCGTCAGAAACGCCTGTGACGCAAGGCAGGCAAATGCCACAAGAAGTTACGTCTCACAATTACATTTTCTAATCTCCCGAAAACTGAAACACGTGTCTTCTTACCTTGGCTCCCGTTAAGATACTGGCAGACCGCAGATCCACATCGGGCCCCTTGTCTGGAAACGTTGCGTGGAAAATCTCTCCTGTTTTAACATTCGCAGCTGGAAAAGCAACATCGGATCACATGGAAAGGCTGTCGCACAGAGGGCAGGGGCAAATTTGCTCCCTGTTGCTCCAAACTCTTAGGATGGAGCTAAAGCCCACAAGTTAAAATTACATGAAATGAGATCCAGATTAAACATTAGCATCAGCTTCCTAATGGTACACTGCTCAGCCGTGGAACAGGTGGCCTTGGAAAGAGGTGGGTGATCCTTGATTAGAGCTTTCATTAGAGGTCGCCTGGCAGGGATGCAATACTGCAATACACCATTGATTTCATGCATCAGTTGTGGGTTTGACTAGATATTTTAAGTACCTGTGAACTCATATGATTCTGTATCCCATTGTAATCATGCTCAGAGTAGTTCCACTGAAAGTAATAGACACTAGTAAAAAGGTAAAGGTACCCCTGCCCGTACGGGCCAGTCTTGACAGACTCTAGGGTTGTGCGCCCATCTCACTCAAGAGGCCGGGGGCCAGCGCTGTCTGCAGACACTGCCGGGTCACGTGGCCAGCGTGACATCGCTGCTCTGGCAAGCCAGAGCCGCACACGGAAACACCGTTTACCTTCCTGCTTGTAAGCGGTCCCTATCTATCTACTTGCACCCGGGGGTGCTTTCGAACTGCTAGGTTGGCAGGCGCTGGGACCGAGCGACGGGAGCGCACCCCGCCGCGGGGATTCGAACCGCCGACCTTTCGATCGGCAAGCCCTAGGCGCTGAGGCTTTTACCCACAGTGCCACCCGCGTCCCCTAATAGACACTAGTAGCTTATGTCTTTTAATTTCAATGGGTATACTTTAAGAGGAACTTTACCTTCTAGATCAGCAGTTCTCAACCTGTGGGTCCCCAGATGTTGTTGGACTACAACTCCCATCATCCCTGAGCTCTGGCCTTGCTAGCTAGGGGTGATGGGAGTTGCAGTTCAACATCTGGGGACCCACAGGTTGAGAAAGGCTGTTCTAGACCCATTTCAATCAAAGTTTAAGCCCTGTTTGGGCAAAGAAACCGCTTTGGTCAGCCTGTATGATTATATCTGCCAGGAGACAGGGGAAATGTGTCCCTGTTAATTCTCCTCAACCTCTCAGTAGCTTTCAATACCATCGACCATGAAATCATTCTGGAGCGGTTGTCCAAGTTAGGGGTGGGTAGGGCACTGCTTTGTGGTGGTTCCAATTCTAATTGGATGGACTGTTTGGCCCTATGGAGCCTTCAACGTGGGGTTCATCTGGGTTCAGTTTTATTCCCTGTGCTGTTGAACAACTCCATGAAACCACTGAGCATTGTTACTCAAAGGTTTGGAGTCCACTGTCAGCGATAAGCTGATGACACTCAGCTCTACTTCTCCTTTACATCTGCAGGTGAGGCAGTGGAAGTGCTGGACTTGCCTTGGTAACAAACTGGATGAGAGCCAGCAAACTGAAGCTCAATCCAGTTAAGGCTGAGGCACTGTTAGTGGGTGGTTCCCTAGACTGGATGGCTGGGAGGTTGCCTGCTCTTGTTGGGGTTACACTCCCTCTGAAGGAGTGGATACACCTCTTAGGGGTACTCTTGGATCCTTTGCTCTTGCTTGAAGCTCAGGTGGCCTCAGCAATGCTGAGTGCCTTCTATCAGCTTTGGCTGGTAGCCCAGTTGCGCCCCAATCTGGACAAAGATAGCCTAACATCTGTCATCTATGCTCTGGTAACCTCTAGGTTAGATTACTGCAATGCATTATATGTAGAGCTGTTAGTTTAAAGGCAAATGTTTTGTATCTCCTACTTCTCTGGCACCTAAGAGAGCAGAGGAAAATGCATGGAAGAACCATGGGTTGGGCAGCCTTATTGATAGAGAAGGAAACCATGGTTTTACAAAACATCTGAACTTGGCATAAAATTAGAAGTCCAGGAAAAGTTTAAATTTCTGATCTGGTGAAAGCAGACAATATACCTACCAGAATAGGATCTTCTCCTTTAGCAAAAAACCAAAACAAAACCCAAAAGGCAGAGTGTTTGAACCTCTCATTAAACCAACTGCATCATTTGTAGCCAGCTTGATGAATTGACACCAAATGTGAACATTACTCACCAATTCCATAAATGAATGGCAAATGTTTGCCTTTCTCTTGCCGGTCATTTAATTCTGTTATTTGAAAGAGAGAAGGAGAGAGGGAAGGAAAGATATAACTAATTCTTCCATGGAAGAGGACACGTTTTTAAAAAAATCAACATCAAGCCTGGGAAGAAACTGAGATACAAGTCCCTGCCAGGTATACACAAATATAGGACTCATCAAATATTCATTCAAATTTGTGACATCAGTCTGGGGTTGGGAGATGCTACTTTTAAGGATAGTCTCCCCACAAGGTGACCTGAAAAGTCAAAGAAACACAAAAATACAATGCAGATATCCTTCTCCAGGACAAGGACTGGGATCTGACATCAGCATGCATTGTGACATATGGCTATAGTTGCCATATGCATACCATACAGAGTCGGTCACGACTGGACCTAAAATGGTCAGGGGTCCTTTACCTTTACCTTAGGGACGCGGCTGGCGCTGTGGGTTAAACCACAGAGCCTAGGACTTGCCGATCAGAAGGTCGGTGGTTCGAATCCCCGCGACAGGGTGAGCTCCCGTTGCTCGGTCCCTTCTCCTGCCAACCTAGCAGTTCAAAAGCACGTCAAAGTGCAAGTAGATAAATAGGTACCACTCCGGCGGGAAGGTAAATGGCATTTCCGTGCGCTGCTCTGGTTCGCCAGAAGCGGCTTAGTCATGCTGGCCACATGACCCGGAAGCTGTACGCCGGCTCCCTCGGCCAATAAAGCGAGATGAGCGCCGCAACCCCAGAGTCGGCCACGACTGACTTAATGGTCAGGGGTCCCTTTACCTTTACAGTACTGCTTTAGCAGGAACAGCTTTTCCCAAAGGATCCTGGGAACTGAAGTTTGCTAAGGGTGCCAAGAGTTAGGAAAACCTTATTCTCTCACAGAGCTACAATTGCCAGCGTGGTTTTTCAATCAATCAAAAAATCAATTGATTGCTCTTCCTAGGGAACTCTGTAGCTCTGTGAGGGGAATAAGGGTCTCCCAACAACTCTCAGCACCCTTAGCAAACTACATTTCCCAGGTTTCTTTGGGGGAAGACACAACTGTTTAAAAGGGGCATCACTGTGCTTTCAACGTACGGTGCTGATGTGGCAAGAACAGCTTAGGCCAGGTAGCTGAGAAGATGGGGAGCAGAGGAAAGTCGCCCATTGGAAACAGTTACCTGTCACGCAGAAGGTCACTAAATGGACATTATCCTGCAAACGGTCAAACGCTCCTAGGAATAACAAGAGGGGAAAGTGTGAGACCTGCCCAACAGAAGGAGATATTTCCAGGCTACATAGAAAGAGTTCTTTTTTAAAAAAGAAAAAAGGCAACATTGGATAAAAATCCTACATTAGCCCCACGCAAAGTAGACCCACTGAAATTAATGGACATGACAGGTGCCTATTAATTTCAGCAGGTATCCTGAGTGGGAGCTGGTTGACTCCAAGCCATGCTAATAACCAATTCGTTCTACTTTAAGCAGTCATGGTTTCCCCAAAGGACTCTGGGAACTATAGCTTGTTAAGGGTGCCAAGAATTGTTAGGAGACCCCTATTCCCTCACAGAGCTACAATTCCCAGAGTGGTTTAACAATCAATCCATCTTACAAGGAGACTCTGGGAATTGGTGCAAACAGGGCTTAAACCATGGGTAGGCGGCCTCAAGATTAATAAAAATAAGACTAAAATGTTGACTAAAAATCTAACTAAGGAAGATATTGTAGAACTAGAACAAAAGATGGGAATTATGACAGCAAAGAAAGTGAAATACCTTGGAGTGTGGATATCAGTGAAAAATATTAACCTATATAAGGATAATTATGAAGTCACTTGGAAGAATATTAAAAAAGATCTTGAAATCTGGGAGAGATTGAGGTTATCTTTTCTGGGGAGGATAGCGGTTATCAAAATGATAACCCAGAATGTTATTTCTGTTCCAAACCATTCTGGTACTAAAAGGTCTGAAGCAGTGTAAAGAGTGGCAAAGGGCCTTAGTGAAATACATCTGGCAAGGCAAAAGACCACGAATAAAAATGAAAATATTGGTGGACAAAAAAGAAAGAGGGGGATTCTCTCTACCAGATCTATGTTTATATTATGAAGCGGCGTGCTTATTGTGGCTGAAGGATTGGATAAGATTGGAAAATAGGGACATCTTGGACTTGGAAGGTTTCGATAACAGGTACGGGTGGCACTCGTACCTGTGGTACGAAAAGGTGAAAGTTCATAGAGGCTTTCTAAATCATATTTTTAGGGGACCACTATTCCAAGTATGGGAAAGAAATAAAAATATATTGGAAAGGAAGACACCTTGGTGGATCTCACCAATAGAGGTGTTAACTATAAAAAAAATAAACATGGAAGGGAAGAATGCCACCTATGAAGAACTAACTTGGAAGACAGATCAAGGGATTAAACTTAGACCATATGAGGAGATCAAAAATTTATTTACAGGGTGGTTGCAATACCACCAAGTAAATGACCTGCTAAAAGAGGACAAAAAGAAAATAGGATTTGAAGATAAAAAATCTAAATTTAATGTAGAAGTTATAGAAGGTAAGAACAAAACACTGTCAAGGATGTATGATATTTTGCTGGAGTGGTATACAAAAGATGAGGAGGTGAAGGAGGCCATGATTAAGTGGGCGATAGACATTGGATATAACATTGATTTTGAGAGGTGGTTGGAACTATGGAACAGGAATATGAGATTTACGGCATGCCCGGCATTAAAGGAAAACCTGTGGAAAATGATCTACAGGTGGTATCACACACCAGTGAAATTAGCGAAGATTTATAAGTTGAAGGATAAAAGATGCTGGAAATGTAGAGAGGTAGAAGGTGACCTCTACCATATGTGGTGGTCGTGTTGCAAAGTGAGAGGTTTTGGGAATTGGTTTATAATGAACTTTAAAAAATCTTGAAATATACATTTCCCAAAAAGCCAGAAGCTTTTTTGTTAGGAATGGTCGGTAAAGAAATTAAAAAAGAAGATAACACCTTGTTTCTATATGCTACGACAGCTGCAAGAATTACCGTATTTTTCGCTCTATAACACGCAGTTTTTTCCTCCTGGAAAGTAAGGGGAAATGTCTGTGCGTGTTATGGAGCGAATGCCTACAGATGGCAGGGGAATCCGCTGTGAGCAGTCCGTGGCTCTCTTTGAAACTGCAAAGCGGGTGTAAGCGGCTCCTGTCAGCGAGCCGAGCCGGGCAGGAGGGAGAGAAGCAGAGCGGGGTTGGTTGCTTTAAAACAACCCCGTGCTCTATGTCCCTCTCTCTTCTCCACTGAGCTGCTAAGTAGCAGCAAAGCTTTTCAGCCAGCCTAGCCGGGAGGAGGGAGAGAAGCAGATCGGGGCTGGTTGCTTTAAAACAACCCCTGTGTCCCTGCCTGCAGTTTTTTGCTGTCCGATTTTGGATCAGCCACTGTAGGGGCTGTGTGTGTGTGTGTGTGTGTGTGCTTGAGCTATCATTCTCCTCCTCCTCCTTCCTGTTCACTCTCACAGCGCCCCAGCGCTCTCCTGCGACTTTAGGAGTGATACTCTGTGTGTCTCTCTGTGTGTGAGGCATCGTTCTCCTTCTCTTGCTTCCCCTTCACTCTCCCAGCGCCCCTGCTACTTCCAGCGCCCCTGCGACTTTAGGATTGATACTCTGTGTGTGTGTGTGTCTCTGTGTGTGTGAGGCATCGTTCTCCTCTTGCTTCCCCTTCACTCTCCCAGCGCCCCTGCGCTCTCCTGCGACTTTAGGATTGATACTCTGTGTGTGTGTGTCTGTGTGTGTGTCTGTGTCTGTGTGAGGCATCGTTCTCCTTCTCTTGCTTCCCCTTCACTCTCCCAGCGCCCCTGCTACTTCCAGCGCCCCTGCGACTTTAGGATTGATACTCTGTGTGTGTGTGTGTCTGTGTGTGTGTGAGGCATCGTTCTCCTCTTGCTTCCCCTTCACTCTCCCAGCGCCCCTGCGCTCTCCTGCGACTTTAGGATTGATACTGTGTGTGTGAGAGAGAGAGAGGGGGGGATCGTTCTCCTTCTCTTGCTTCCCACTCCCAGCGGCCCTGCCTCTCCTGCGACTTTAGGATTGATACTCTGTGTGTGTGTGTGTCTGTGTGTGAGAGGGATTGTTCTCCTCCTCCTGCTTCCTGTTCACTCCCCCAGCGCCCCTGCGACTTTAGGGCGACTTTAGCATGGATCCACATGGATCTTCAGGATTTTTGCATTGGGCTACCCCAAACTCACCGTCAGATCACATGTCTGTGGCCACAGCATGAACCACAAAAATCATACATCCACTGTTTTGTTTAGAATATTTTTTTCTTGTTTTCCTCCTCTAAAAACTACGTGCGTGTTATGGTCTGGTGCGTGTTATAGAGCGAAAAATACGGTATGTTAGCACAAAATTGGAAATTAGAAGTAATACCCAATATAAGTGACTGGCAGGTTAAAATGATAAATTATGCGGAGCTTGATAGAATATCAGGAAGATTAAGGGACCAAGACGAACAGAAATTTCATGATAATTGGAAGAAATATTTAATGTATATGGAATCTAAATCTCAGGTGACACTGGCGGGGTTGAAATAACTCTAACAGCGGGAAAGGCTTATGTAAAAGAGTTAAAAAGTACGTGATTATATAATTTATTCGATACTTACCAAAGGAGTGGAGGGAAGTCCAAGGTTCAGTTGAGATTAACTCAGTTATGTATTTTATCTATGATTTGTGAAGTGGATATAATTTGTATAAGGTATGTGGTGGATTTTTTGTTTATGTTTTTTCTGTATATATGTGCAAATATGAATAAAAATTTATTTTAAAAAAAACAAAAAACCATGGGTAGGCAAACTAAGGCCTGGGGGCTGGATCCGGCCCATTCGCCTGCGGACGGTATGGGAATCAGTGTGTTTTTACATGAGTAGAATGTGTGCTTTTATTCAAAATGCATCTCTGGGTTATTTGTGGGGTATAGGAATTCATTCATTTCCCCCCCCCAAAAAAAAAAATATAGTCCAGCCCACCACATGGTCTGAGGGACAGTGAAAAAGTTTGCTGACCCCTGGCTTAAACCTTGATTGAAATGGGAATTGCTGTGGCCTCAGAGCCATATCAAGCTGGCTCGTAACTCTCATAAGGCTCATAACTCTAGGGCAGTCCTTCTCAACCTTGAGTCCCCAGATGTTGCTGGTCTAGCCAGCATGGTCAGTGATCAGGGATGATGGAGTTGTCGTTCAAGATCACCTGGGAGCCCATGGTTGAGAAAGGCTGCTCTAAGGTGTCTACTCGGGCATCATGCCAAACCACTGTAGCAAAAATAAAAAGGCCCCAAACCATGGTTTGCCAACCCCCTGGAAACTGTGCTGTCAGATTCTAGTTTGCCAACTCATCAGAAACCGTGGTTTGCCAGCTCAGCCATCACGCCAGGCCACACTTAAACGTCCTTCCACCGCTTGATGCAATGTCTGAATCCAGTCACTGTGGCACAGCAGAGGTTGAGCAGCATTCCCAGTGGGCAGGGCTTAAGTGCCATTCATTCCTCTTTGTCCCTCCCCATGGAGGACCTACATGCAGGATTTGGTGTGAGCCCATGCTATCCCCAACAGCGTAAACCTCTCACAAGCTCTGCAAGCTTTACCTGCACCCAGTCGGAATTCTAAACTTTGACAGAGGGAGTAGGAATGCAAACTTACTCAGGAGCTGATTGGTAAGTCGCTGGGATAAGTGCCTGTCATCGCTGAATCCTCCAATCAGGTGTACTTCCAACCTAACAACAAGGACGGAAGTTGGAGATATAACCTGTTATCACCGGCAGATTAATCGACTAAAGCCTTAGTTGAGTGGGATCCACTGAAATTTATCAAGCGCTTTATTTATTCACTTTTACTCTTATCTTGATTGTGGTGAATTGATATAATAGGAGGAGGAGGAGGAGGAGGAGGAGGAGGAGGAGGAAGAAGAAGAAGAAGAAGAAGAAGAAGAAGAAGAAGAGGAGGAGGAGGAGGAGTTTGGATATGATATCCCGCTTTATCACTACCCGAAGGAGTCTCAAAGCAGCTAACATTCTCCTTTCCCTTCCTCCCCCGCAACAAACACTCTGTGAGGTGCGTGAGGCTGAGAGACTTCAGAGAAGTGTGACTAGCCCAAGGTCACCCAGCAGCTGCATGTGGAGGAGTGGAGGCGAACCCAGTTCACCAGATTACGAGTCTACTGCTCTTAACCACTACATCACACTGGGAATGTAAAATAAATTATTACAGGTTTCTGTTGTCTGTCTGTCTGTCCGTCCCCTCCCCACTTATTATTGAGTGGTAACAAACTTATCACAGTTTATTTCATCTCAAATATGTATGCCACCTTTAGCACCTTGGAGAAAAAGGTTGGGGTGTTAAATATAAATAAAATATCCATATTAAGTAAATTAACTGTTAGTTGATCATCTGCCCTTTTCCAGTTTGCTTGACAGCCACCAACAGTAAAAGAGAAAAGCTGACCTTCCACATTCCGTGTTAGGAGAAAGCACTTTCACTGCATTTGTGATTAACAAAACTTCTGTCTCCGTATCCGATCCATCGCAGTGAGTCAAACAGATAGCCCCGCTGCCTGAGGGAAACAAAAATACAATATGGATGGTTTGCATGTTCCGGACAATGGCAACTACAGTCAGCAATTGCTGCCCGTACGTTATCAGGTTCAAGGTACCTGTATTACTTTAAAAGATAAAAAGGTAAAGGACCCCTGGACGGTTAAGTCCAGTCAAAGGTGACTATGGGGTTGCGGCGCTCATCTCGCTTTCAGGCCGAGGGAGCTGGTGCTTGTCCACAGACAGCTTTCCAGGTCATGTGGCCAGCATGACTAAACTGCTTCTGGCGCAACAGATATGTAGCGCTCCAAGCTTATCTGGAGCTCAAAGCCCTCCCTGGGCCACACCCCAGAGTTTATACTTGGTTAAGCATGTCCCTCAACTCTTAAAATGCTTCTTGGCTTCCCAGATACTTGGATGTCATCAACCAAAACCTGCTGTACTGGCTGAAAAACCCTATAAATCAGAGGCATCGAAATCCAGGGGCATAGTTCAAAAGCAGCAAGGAACCCAGAGCCCAATGACATACCTGTGTGTCTGAGGACCACCAAATGGCAGGTGGTTGCATCATCTGATCCGAGAATAGAGACAGAAGCTGAGGAAAAAGGAGGAGAAGGAAAAGTGAGGTCCTAGCGGCTATTTCTTAACTTTTGGATGGAACTTCCTTAGTGCCAACCTACCATCCTTAGGAGTGGTGACTGCAAATTCTCTCTGCTGGACATAGAGAAGTCCTTTGGGGCCCACTGATTGAGCAGGCTGACCTCTTAAGATTTTGGCTTGTTCCTGTAGAAAATGGGGAAACAAAGTCGTATTTAGGTTCCCAGCTAGCACAATCGTTCTGAGATCAGAAGCCCTCAACGTTTGACTGTGTGCTGCAATTATGGATGTTCGTAGTTAATTTTTTGTGTTAACTGCTTTTTTATACTTTTGCAAACCACTCAGAAGCATTATTTTGGGACGAGGTGGTCTACAAATAAATAAATAAATAAATGATTCCTGGCACCTAAATCAGCAAACGAAAACCCAAGAGCTTTCCTTAAGAGTTGGAAGGGGCCCTGAGGAGCATCTGGTCCAGCCCCCTGTTATACAGGAATATGCAGCTGTCACTTACAGGGATCGAACCTGCAGCCTTGGTGTTATCAGCACCAAGCTCTAACCAATGGAGCTATCCAGCTGTCAAAGCAAATCTTCCGGGCCAAATTACAAATCACTTGGAACTGCTTAGAGGATTTATTCCCATAAACACACCAGGGTGTAACAAACATGGGGTGGGGGAGGGAAGAGTTCAGCCCACAGTGATGTACCAATATTGGGCCATTTTGTGAGGACACGTCAAAAGCCAGCCACTTCATCCTATGGGCAAAGATGGCGACAACCAGGCATGGGCTGAATTTTCCTCTGTGGAGTGGTTGCTTGCAATAAATTCCAAAACAGGGGTGACAGACATGCTGCCTGCAGGTGCCAATGTTGCCACCAGTACCTCTTATGGTGGCCAAGAAAGATCTCAGTCAATATCCCCTCGAAAAAATCCACAGTTCACAAGAGACCTTTGGTTTTCCTGCCCAGTTCCTGTTTGCCCTAGCTTGGCCTCTCCCACATTGGGAACCTTCCCAATCATGAATTGAACCAACATTGAACATCCTCTTCCATTCCAAATGGAGCAGAGGTACAAAATGCTCTCTGTAAGAGGTTGGCTGATGTGGGTGCATTCTCCCCCACTGACAGGGAAAACAAGCCCACACCGTATTTTAGATGTGGCAGCCATTTTGTGATCTCTCTCCTCTTTGACAAACGCACACATACAGTAGCCATTTTGTGGTTTAGTGGTTGGAACATCAGACTGGAACCTGGGATACCAAGATTTGAATCCCCACTCAGCCATGGAGCTCTCTAGGTGACCTGGGGCCAGTCACTGCATCTCAAGTCTAACCTACCTCATATGGCTGCTGTGAGGATAAAACCATGAATGCCATCTTGAGCGCTTTGGAGGAATATGAAAGTGACAAGTAAGCGATATATAAAAGACATTTCAAAATTCCAGTCTGGCCCCCAAAAGGTGGGCCGTCCCCATTAAGTATATGGGGGGGGGGGAAAGAACCTGTTTCTCAAGTATTTCAGGGAGCAGGGGAGAAAATCAGCGAAGGTTTGAGGAAGACACAAGAAGGGCATGAAAAGAACATCTGCAAAAAGAGCAGGGGTGGGGAAATTTGGTTGCATTTTTTTTTAAAAAAGGGCAGGCCGGTGGAGAAAAGCCTGAAAGCAGCCCATGCAAAATAGAAGTTGAGAGTTACCTTACATCAGGACATTCAAAATAAATTGAAAGTCACAAGCTCTCAAGTCATTAACACCATTAACACCAAAACAATGGCCGCTTAAATGTGCAGCATATTTGACTGATTGTATTTATAGCCTACTTTTTTCTCCATGGCACATACATGGTTCTTCCCCTCACTGTTTAATCCCCACAACAACCCTGGGAGGTAAGGACGACCAGCGAGCTTCATGGCTGAGTGGGGAACTGAACCCTGTTCTCCCAGACCCTCTAACCACTGCACTGCACTAGCTCTGTATTTAAGCTAGAAGACACCACCTTTTGGGAGCATCTATGGGTTAAACCACAGAGCCTAGGACTTGCCGATCAGAAGGTCGGTGGTTCAAATCCCCACAACGGGGTGAGCTCCTGTTGGTCGGTCCCTGCTCCTGCCCACCTAGCAGTTCGAAAGCACGTCAAAGTGCAAGTAGATAAATAGGTACCGCTCCAGCGGGAAGGTAAACGGCGTTTCTGTGCGCTGCTCTGGTTCGCCAGAAGCGAGAAGCTCTATGCTGGCTCCCTTGGCCAATAAAGCGAGATGAGCGCCACAACCCCAGAGTTGGTCGCGACTGGACCTAATGGTCAGGGGTCCCTTTACCTTTACGCACCCTGGCATTGTGTTCCAAACACCTGTGTCCCAGTGCATATTTGCTCAAAAGTAAGGCTGTAATCCTCTACTACACCAGGGGTGGGTGTAAAAACATATAGCTTTCCAGATGCTGCTGAACTACAACTCCCATAATCACCAGCAAGCGTGGCCAACAGGCCACTTGATTGTGGAAGCTGACCCTGGTGGTCCCTTCAAAGTCTACAAGTCTGCGATCAACGTCTGGAGGACTAAATATCCCCGCAATGCTGCTTTACAAGCATAAGTGCACACACACACTCTTACCTGAGAGTCATTCCCATTGAACTCGATGGGGCTTACTTCAGAGTAAGCATGCACATGATTGCACTGGCGTTGTTGTTTCTATTAAAAAAAACTCCCATAGAGTTCAATGGCGCTACTTTCCAAGGTAAGCGGTGCACAGAGACACAGCCTCCGAAGAGCACCAGAGCAGAGCAAACGGAAGACATTTCATTTTATTTTAAATATCTGCATCTAAGGACGCACCCTCCAACTCACACCCTCAGCCCTGCCCCCCTTTCTTCTCTCTTCTATTAATGAATAATCCCTATAATCAGCTGCCAGCTCGCAGCTCACCTCCAGCTCCGGGAAGGTGTAGATCAGCTCCCTCGTGGGCTGGGACAAGTCGACCCGCTCCCCATTCACCAACAAAGGCATCTCGGGGAAGCGCCCAGCGCAGCAGCCGCGGAACTTCCTGCCGGAGACTCTCAGCTGAGCGCCGCGCCACGAGGGCGAGGCCAGACCGGGCTGCAAAGGGCGCTGGGAAATGTAGTCCTCGGGTGCATTGGGAAGAGGGCGTGGCGGCGTGGGAGGAGGATCGGGGGAGCCCTCGGGGGTCAGGGGAGAGGGAGTAGCGTCTATTCCAGCCCGAGGGCCACTTTCCTCCAAGGTCAATCTTCGGGGGGCCGCATAGCAGCGGTGGGCAGGGCCAGAAGCGAAAGTGGGCAGAGCAATGCCTTTCTGCATTATAGGCTACAGCTTCCTCCCCCTTGCATGCCTAATACCTTTTAAAAAGCCATTTTGTGTGTGCATAAGCGCTCATGCACACAGTCCCATCAGCTGCATGTAATATATATATGACATATGACTGTTAAGGTTTATTTAATATTTCATATCCCACTTTCCAATTAAACAACCAAACAACAACATCTCGCTTTCCTATTTGGATAATATTAGTTTGCAGTTGTGATAGGAATTTTATGGTATTAGATATATGGTAATGTTCATAACTGCACATACATAGATCAGCACAGGAAAACCAACCTGGAACCATTTTGATTCCTAAACTGACCAAATCCTTTCTCTGCAAGGTTAAAAATGGAAAAGCCTCCCCATTGTCTCTTCCTTCACAAATCCTGTCTTAATCTGTGTTTGAATAAGGTGTGAGCCTGTGACCTGGCCCAGGAAATAAGTATTTTAGCACTACAAAAGAATGGCCAGGCTCCCCAGAAATCCAATCAAGCAACTTGCCAGACAGGAGATAAACTGGGACAGGAGAAAAACAACATTTAAATTTCTGTGATGTAGGGGGATGTATCTGAGGGGTGGTCTTAGGTTACACCCCTTCTGTGATGTATGCATAATGTTTCTGGGGGTGGTCTTGATCTAGAGGATGGGAATTTCAAAAGTCTTTATAAGGCCTTGCAGGCCATTGTTCTGGGTCCTCTTCCTCTCCTGCGTGTGAGGGGAGTACCCTGTTGCAACAGATCAATAAAGATCAAGCTTACTAGCTGCTTTGCTTCTCAATATTCTCTGGTTGGCCTCTGTTATTTTCTCCTACCAATAGGGAACCTATGTAAGGACTCTATATGGGCTCTTGGATACCCCATAAGGGAAAAGGGCATATATTTTTATTTACAACAGATGGCGACCACGCACGAAGGGACTTTTGGTTACCCGGATTCTGGAAGCGAGGAAGGATTGGTTATCCAGCGCGCACCAGGCAGTTTGCCAGGAGGAATAACCAGTCTTCCATCGATCCCAGGGTCTGGAAATAACTGGAGGTTCAGCGGGGCTAACCAGAGGAAGCAACGCTTGATCAGGCCGGCCTTAAACAACCAGTCAAGAGATCCCGGGATCACCAGGACAGCGCTTGCGAAGTGAGTATGAGTAGGAAAAATGGGTAGTGGGGTGGGATTCTGCAAACCACAGCAAACCTATACTTCTCAAATCCTTACTTCTTTCCTCACTTTAACTCTTGAAAAAAATTGCCTTCTCCTCCTTTCTGTCCTCTTGATCTCAACACCAGCCCTAGCCCTTCGGAGTATGCCCAGGCACAAGGTTGTGTGTGATTTCTTCCACTTAATTCTTTATGCCGACCTATTCCTTCGGAGTTTTGCCCAGAAAGGTCGTGCAATTTCTTCTGCACTGAAAACTATAATTCCCAAAACTATAACTCCCAGCGCAGCCGCACCTCTGCCATGGCGATCTTTGTTAGAAATGACCTGTGAACAGAGAACGCAAGGGCGCTGAATTCCTTTCCATCTTTCATATTCCAGAGTCTCAATCTGGCATTGCAAGTGTGCAAGCGTTCAGTAGGGACTCTGAGTTAGATTGTAAGAGGCAGGGAGGTTGCTGTGGGTTGTAGAATAGAGATTAAGTGAGGTATCCCCAGGTTTTTCCCCTTCGGAGATTTGTCCAGGTGTCCCCAGGTTTTTCCCCTTCGGAGATTTGTCCAGGTGTCCCCAGGTTTTTCCCCTTCGGAGATTTGTCCAGGTGTCCCCAGGTTTTTCCCCTCGGAGATTTGTCCAGGTATCCCCAGGTATCCCCAGGTATCCCCAGGTTTCCCCCCCTCGGAGTTTTGTCCAGATTTCCCCTTTTCCGGACCCTTCAGAGTTTTGCCCAGGTCCAAACCCCTTTTAATTGAAAATGGGTGCACCTCAGTCAAAAGAAAAATAGTCCTCAGACCCCTGGCGTGAAAGAAGCCCAATTGGTGCTTACTTCCCGCCTGGACTCTGACTGTCCCCTTCAATTTGTGTTTAAGAAACGTTTTTCCTGTGTTTAAATTGTACTTAGGCAACATCCAGCAGCTGCTTATCTTAAATGTGCCATCTAAAATAAAAATGCAAGCTTGTTCCAAGTTCTAAATCTAAGGAAGCCATGTTGAACCTTAACAATCTTAAACAAGATAAAATGAGAATGAAGTGTGCAAATGTTTGTTATTTGAGAGAGGCTCAAAAGAGTCTTCCTCCTTGTATGTACTTCATTAAGCATATGCCTATGAAAGTATGGTGTTCCTTCTAAGAAAAATATGTGAGTCCAGTTTTAACTTTGATCTGGTTGGACAGAAGAGTTATTGTAAGGCTCCTGATATCAGTCTCTATAAAACGTCCTGGCCTCTTTTCTTAGAAAATGCCCCCCCCCCCTTGTTTCATTCTGTCTCTTTCAGGTTTTTTTCCCCTTCTTCTTATTCTGTGCCAGGTAAATTTACTTCCGAGTAAGCTTCCTTTAAAGGAAACTGCAAAGGGGGGGGGCATAGATTAGGCTTACTATTCCTCTGCAAGTTCAGGAAAAATTGTTCACTTTTGTATTCCTTTTAAATCAAATCTATGGCTGTTTTAATTATTTGTCAGTGGTTATATCAATTGAATTAACTTTCCTTTATAAGAGATCCTCTCCCTATCTTAGGAAAAATGTTCACTTCAATATTCCTTTAAAGATAATTTATCTAGGAACTTTCACTCTTTAGTCTAAGGAAGTAAACTCTCACTCAAACTAGTTGGGTACTTTTATTTTCCTCTTCCTTAGTACATGATAGGCGCATGGCTTGTGATCTCTTCTCCAGTTGTGTCTGTGTACATAAGTATGTGTGTGTTTCTGGTAGTACAAATCTTGCTATGAACCCTGTATTTTAGGGTTGGACTAGATGACCCCAGGTCCCTTTCAACTTTCCCAATTTGTGGCTGATGTGTTGAAATTCAGCCCAGATTTGCTCAAATCTTGCTATGAACCCTGTATTTTAGGGTTGGACTAGATGACCCCAGGTCCCTTTCAACTTTCCCAATTTGTAGCTGATGTGTTGAAATTCAGCCCAGATTTGCTCTTTGTTTTTTTAAAAGGTGTGAGGTGAAGCCATGATGTTTGAAGCAGAACTGGTGATATCAGGCATTTAAGTGATTATAGTGTTTATCGTTTTGTCTATTATTTACAAAAATCAAACTTAAAAGTCTATTAAAAGTTTAAGCACATAAAAATTCATATAGTTAAGTAGAATTAGCCTTGACCATGACTGAGAATGTTAAAAAAATAAAATAAATAAAAAAATCCTATGAATTCTAACTCTCTCGCCATTTTTACTCATAAATAAGAGAGCGGTTGATTGTTCCGCGAATGACCAATAATGATAGCCCTTTCCTGTACATAAAGGAAGCACTCCTTTTGCTGGGGCTGAAATTGCTAGCTTTGGTGAATACTTAAATTGCTGAGTTTCTCTTTTTTGTTGTTTTAAAAATCTAACCCTATTTTTAAAATCTACTCCTTACCTTTCCCTTCCTTATTCTAATTGAGCCAAAAGATGCAACATTTTCAATGGTATAAAAGGTTTGCTGAGACATGAGCTCTGCACATGCACAGAGGCTAGATCAGCTTTAAAAAAAAAAAAAGAGCGAGAGAAAGGAGGGGGGAGAGAGAAGGTTTGGAGAGCGTGAAACCTATACAAATTTCCTTATGTAAAACTTGGAACCATTGAGCGAAATCATCCTTAATGTGTTTTGCCCCAAGGGCTACTTAAGACAAAAGAGTTAAGTACTGGACATGCCAAATTCTTTTCACAGGTAAATATCAAAGCACTCCCACTGTGAGTTACTCTCTTGAGTAGTTTCTCCCCCCCCCCATGGGATTTAAATTTTATAACAGTTTTTTTTTTGTGTGTGTGTATGTGTATATGCCTATGCATTTTAGGAACAGCATTTCCTGACAAACCTCTCACATAAAATAATTTTCCCTTTCAACAGGTGTGTATATGCCTATGCATTTTAGGAACAGCATTTCCTGACAGACCTCTCACATGAAATAATTTTCCCTTTTAACAGAGTGTCCTTTCTTTTCTCCCACATCACAAATGATAATGAGGGGATGCAAACAGTGATTTAAATACTCTATAAAAAGTAATTACATTTGTTTTCCTTTTGTCTTTCTTCCCTTAAAGCCAAACAGTCACTTTTTTTCTGTTCAGCAAAACAAGTCTGAATCCCTGCTATATTAGTTGATTTCCTTCTATCTCTTTGTGGCTTTGACATTTTTTTTTAGGTTACAAATAATCTGTTTTCGTTTATTAAGTTCGTTTTATCAGTTCTTCCATTTTATATATATGAAATTAATCGAAGCACATGGTGAATTTAAAGGTTTTTCCCCCATTGTTTTCCCATTTTTTTCAGTCTAGTAGTAATCTGCGTGGTTTTGATAATATATTTAATAATAATTCTTTTCTAAATCTGATGTCTTTGTGTCAAGTTTGTTTTCATCTGACTGGTAATCTAATTTTTGCTTTCTTTTGTATTTTTAACCTTTGTATTTTTTACAGTTCTCTTTCTATACATGTGGAGTAATTTTTATTTTATAATATGAAAAGAACAACAACAAAAAAAAACTAAGTGAAGGAAAGCAAACAAACTTAGCAGATAATAACAGTAATTATGTGGAAATGTGATAATAATATTGAAATAAATAAAATGCTTAATGTGCTAAGATTTTTTATTATCTGCAGCTTCCCACGGAAAACTCAAGGACAGATTTTTTATTATCTGCAGCTTCCCACGGAAAACTCAAGGACATCCTTTTTGCCTTTTGCCCCTTCCTTGTCTAACTGTGTTTAAGTCTCCCCAAAACCCTGCCCCCTTACAGGATATCACTTCTACAGATGTGCAATGATGAAAAGCAGCAACAACCCCTCAACTCACAAGACCTGCAACACCAGAGTTTTCAAAGTGCCCACAGTTATCTCTTTCAAAGGCTATAGACTGACGGGGGGGGCTGACAAAGGGGGGAGGAGTTGAATTGCAAGGACATTTTTTCACTTGAACCTCAAGCCTCTGCTCCAGGATTCAAAAGATACATACGTAAAAGATCACAATTGTGTCAAGATATGCAACAGATATTTAATTATTTTGTTTTGTATTATGTGTTATTATGTAAGAATGTTGAAATGTGTCTGACAGTGTGATTTCCACAAAGGGGGGCAATTTTTTTTGTGTGTAACTGTTTTTATGTTTAATGTCTTATTCCTTACACACCAGTGGAGAATTCTCATGCATTTTATACTTTCTAATAGCTCACACTATTGTGTAGTCCAATGTTTAGATAACCACATTTCATTGTCCCACCTGGCACTCTGCCAACTTTCCCTATCCATTTTAAAATGTGTTAAACCTCATTTTGCCAAGGACAAGCTTCTGGATCCATAAAACACCAGGTACATGAAGGTGGATATGCTTTGGTTTAGCAGGAATGATCCCTTATAGACTTAAATTGACTTATTTGGACAACTGCCCTTGTTAAGAATGGTTTTCTTTTAACAGATTGGTTTGAAGACTTGAGAATCATGGGGCAAGATAAATTCAAATTGGACTCAGTTTGAATTGGGCAAGTGTATCCAGGCTGCAATTAGCTTTTTGGTCCTTTAAGTGCAAGTGAGCAACTTCCATGAGTGCAAGACCACAGCCTATAATAAAATCCCATAGCTGAAGGCCAAGGCGAAGACATCTCCCTCACGAGATGCCCAAACCTGTGCCAGCTATGGTGAATGCTAGGCAACATGGTTAAATGAAAGCCCTGAGGGGATTCAACAGACAGGATGTGTTGCTGTAGCAGTATGTCAGTGTGAGACCACAGAAGAGCTAGCTTGACACCTGAGAAACACACAAAAATGGCGAAGGGCAAAACACCAACTGCATTTTTCACTCATTAGTGGACCTTCCTGCTAGGTGTAAAGCATAGAACACTATTGAGTAAATGGTCTCTCCCAAAGTGTTAGAATGCCACAAGTAATTTAGTAGCAAAACGCAACATGTGTTATTTTTATATGATATATTTATACAAAGACATCCATTTACAACATACGATGTTATTATTTGTGGGGCAAAAATTTTTAAGAAAAATTCTAGCCCCAAAGGGGGGAATAATGTGATAGGAATTTTATGGTATTAGATATATGGTAATGTTCATAACTGCACATACATAGATCAGCACAGGAAAACCAACCTGGAACCATTTTGATTCCTAAACTGACCAAATCCTTTCTCTGCAAGGTTAAAAATGGAAAAGCCTCCCCATTGTCTCTTCCTTCACAAATCCTGTCTTAATCTGTGTTTGAATAAGGTGTGAGCCTGTGACCTGGCCCAGGAAATAAGTATTTTAGCACTACAAAAGAATGGCCAGGCTCCCCAGAAATCCAATCAAGCAACTTGCCAGACAGGAGATAAACTGGGACAGGAGAAAAACAACATTTAAATTTCTGTGATGTAGGGGGATGTATCTGAGGGGTGGTCTTAGGTTACACCCCTTCTGTGATGTATGCATAATGTTTCTGGGGGTGGTCTTGATCTAGAGGATGGGAATTTCAAAAGTCTTTATAAGGCCTTGCAGGCCATTGTTCTGGGTCCTCTTCCTCTCCTGCGTGTGAGGGGAGTACCCTGTTGCAACAGATCAATAAAGATCAAGCTTACTAGCTGCTTTGCTTCTCAATATTCTCTGGTTGGCCTCTGTTATTTTCTCCTACCAATAGGGAACCTATGTAAGGACTCTATATGGGCTCTTGGATACCCCATAAGGGAAAAGGGCATATATTTTATTTACAACACAGTGAAAAACAAAGGTATGAAAACGAAGGTCACTTCACCCAAGAAGAGGTTTACGGGTAACGACTAAACTCTCAAAAGGGGAATGGGATTGTTGTACATTTGGGAAAAACTGACCCGTGGAACAGCCCAGGTGACGGAACTCAGAGCAAGCCCTCAAATTGTCAAGTCCTTAAAGCTAAGGGAGTGTCATTAAATTACAAACTGAACCACAGTCCTTTATATATATATATATAAAAACACAACTACTTTCTTTTACAATACAGGTATGTTGCGCAAGAGCACCAAATGCTATAACACTAACAACAACAACAACAACAACATTTTATTATTTGTACCCCACCCATCTGACTGGGTTGCCCCAGCCACTCTGGGAGGCTTCCAACAGAGTATACAAAAATATACAGTGGTACCTCGGTTTAAGAACAGTCCTGTTTACGAAATATTTGGTTTACGAACTCCGCAAAACCGGACTTTAGCGAACTTTACCTTGGTCTAAGAATGGAATCTGAAGGGTGGAAGGGCACCAGTGGCGGGAGGTCTTATTAGGGAAAGCACGCCTCGGTTTAAGAACGGTTTCGGTTTAAGAACGGACTTCCGGAACGGATTAAGTTTGTAAACCGAGGTACCACTGTACTCTGAATTCCACAAAACAAAAGCACACAGAACATCATGAGAACGACAATGAGTCCAGAAAAGAATTTATAGCAGCTAAGCGCAACATAGCATATCAAAATTGTTATAGTGACACAGGATCTCACGCACCTCGATTTGCTAGTGCGTGCAAATGAATCGCCTCTGCAGCCTGCCCCTTAAGCATCCTTTGCAAGACTGCCTTGCATCAACAGGCCTTTTCAAAACGACAATTTTTTTGTCACTGGTCAACTCCTTACTGACCTTTCTTGCCTTCTTATGGCAGTTGCAATCTTTATATCTGCTCTACACCGCTTTGACGTTTTCTATACAAGTTAGTGGCATATATAATATTTTTAAATTAAATAAATAAAAGCTATGCCCCTCCCATTTCTTGCTTTTGTGGTTTGTTTGTTTTGTTTTTTTGAACAAGTGCCTGTGCTCTCCAGCCCGTGGGCTCTTTTCAGACTCACCCCTGCCCCTGAGCAAGAGGGATAGCTGGCAAGCAGTAAGTGTAGCCTTAGGAGGCTTTGCCCTCGGGTGGGAAAAATATTGCGCCCGGGAAAGGGAGATGGGAGTCAACAGACACTCAAGGAATAGTTTCGGAGAAAAAGCTTTATTTCTACCATCCATGAACTGGTAGAAGGAGCGAGTGTGATAGTTCACAAACAAGCACGAGTTCACAGTCATTTGCACAGAGCATATATTCCCCTTCTAGTTCCCTCCCCTTTCCCCTCCTCTTCCAGAGTCCTGCTTCGAGTTCCCCTGAGCATGAACAGAAAGCTCCTGTCTTGGGACTCTTGGACTCTTGGCACCCTTCCCAGGAAAAAGGGAATGAGAGTGTGGACAAAATGGATTGTTTCAAGAAGTGGCAGAAAGATATTTCTAGATTTGTCTGGCAGGGCAAGAAGCCCAGAATAAAATTTAAAATATTAACGGATGCAAAGGAAAGAGGTGGATTTGCCCTGCCAGACCTCAAACCTTACTATGAATCAGCAGCTTTCTGCTGGTTGAAAGAATGGCTACTACTTGAAAACACAGACATTTTGGATCTGGAAGGTTTTAATAATGTATTTGGAGAGTGGTTCAGCATGTCCAAGATGTTGCAACTGAATGAGATAAAAGTCAGTTCTCAGGCCTGCTCTGACAGAGTCTATTCATTAGCTTTTTGAAGCTCTCTCGTGCTGATAAAAGAATAACATTTTGCCTTGCAACAGCAGCACAAATGAGCAGATGCTTAGCTGCTGAGAAAACGATTTTGAAAAGCTTTGAGAAGCTTTGAGCCTGCTTTGGGGGGGGGGTGGCTTCGGGCCTAGGTGGGGTCACCTGTCCTCACCTCCTTCATTAGCAGCTGCTCAAAGTGTTCCTTGGAACTGGCTATGTATCTCACTGGGCAGCTGGGAGGTTAGGGAACTGTTTGCCCTAAACTTAGGGGGGGGGGACTCTGAAGAGGCGGAGGAACTTAAAGCAAGCCACTGTCGCCATGCTGGAGACAAAACAAAACAAAAAGCCCAGTTAAGTTAGCCCTTTCTGGTAGGGCTGCCAACTCACCAAAAACAACTCACAAAAAGAGCAGGAGGAGGAGGAACACCAAGCACACCTGGAAGCGCTTTGCTCTGATGCCACCCATCATCTCACCTGCAGACAGCAGCACCAAGAGGGATGACCAGGGCCTTCTCCTGCATAAGGACACCTAGGCATGGCAAGTGCTGAGGTGGCCACACATACCTGAGAAAGCCAGCAGCTCCAAAAGAAGCGATTTGGGGCTTATTCCAAGAGAGACCACAATTTTTAAGCAAAACCTTCGATTCCGAAATGTGTTGCCATACAGCCGGGTTTCCCCGGACTCCCCCCCCCCCCCAATTTGCAATATTTCCCCCTGGACGCCATTTGCAACGTCAGAATCCCATATATGTCTGGGGGAAACCTGGACATTTGGTAGCACTCGTTTTCTGAAATGGGGGGAGAAAATGCAAGTTAAGAAATAGGAGAATCTTAAGGCAGAAATGAAAGAACACCAACTTGCATAAAATTGTTCTACTGGTCCTTTGCCTTCTTTCATCACACAAAATATTGTTGGTTGTATTTTCAGCAGCTGCAAGGTTCCACAAATTCTTATGCCACAATTCAAGACAACAGATCATTCTTCCATTTTTTTGTGTGTGCAATACAAAGTCTGGCAGCTGCTAGAAACTAAGTTAGCAGTGCCTTCAAAAAGAATTGTTTTAGACTCTAAAATTTAGAGTATCCTCTCATATATAGCCTCCAGGAATTGTCCTTCATCTTCAGGAAACTCCTGCAGCCAATCCTGGAGATTTGACAAGCTGCTGCTGCTGTCTCACCCTGTTGCCTGAACCTTTAAGGAAAGGCCACAGCCACAAGCGGGTGTTGCTTGCCCCAGCTGTGGACCAGGGCAGTGGCGGAGGAAGCCCAGGTTCCTTAAAGTGGTTGCATGGGAATCGAGAAGTCTGGAGCAGGAAGGTGCAGGAGATGCAAAGCGGGCAAGGCTTAGTCAGTAAAGAGCGGGAAAAACCATGGCAACCAGTCCTGGGTCAATGTTGCAAAATGGAACTAGGAGACTAGAATGTGGGTTGAGACTCTCTTAAGAGCAATGGGAAGAGGGAGCTGGGCTTTGTTTTATGGCTCGGGGATGGATTCATTCACTCCCCCAATAAATCTATTTTCCTAGTAGCTTCCCTTACAAACAAAGGGGAATCCTCTAAGCTGCCGGAAAGAAGTTTTGCCTGAAATCTTAGAAATCATCTGCCAGTCGGTGGAGACAGTACTGAACTAGATGGAGCAATGGTCTTTGTTTTGGTATAAGGTAAATTCCTCTGTTCTTCCTACCAGGGGGCTAGTTTTTAGTTTAACGCATGGTAGACAAACTAAGGCCCGGGGGCCGGATCTGGCCCAATCGCCTTCTAAATCCGGCCCTCGGCATGTTTTTACATGAGTAAAATGTGTGCTTTTATTTAAAATGCATCTCTGGGTTATTTGTGGGGCATAGGAATTCGTTCATTCCCCCCCCAAAAAAAATAATAGACTGGCCCGCCATGAGGCCTGAGGGACAGTGGACCGGCCCCCTGCTGAAAAAGTTTGCTGACCCCTGGTTTAACGGCACAATTGTGGACCAGGCAGGCTGAGTGATAGTGTTCTGAAGGTGCAAGTTGCTTTTCAATCCGGCTCCTCTTTATGCTAATTTTTCATCTGTGTTTAGTTACAGAGGTCTGACTCAAGTGTTTATCTGATTTTTCCAAATCTGCACCCTGAAGTCTCCCAATGTTCACCAACTGTTTAAAAGTGTGTGTTGTTTTTAAAAATGCATGCTTGCTTTTCAAGTGGCTTTTATTGGTCTTGTTATGGTTAATATTACTCATGTTTATGGTTCTTTGTTCTACAGAGGCAGTCTTGGGAGCTGGAGTTGTAGCAGCCCCTAACAACTCTCAGCTCCCAGAATTCTTCGAGGCAGCCATGACTTTTCAAAGTTGTATCATAGGGCTTTAGGTTTGATGGTGTGAATGTAGCCCGGCTCTAGGACTTTGGCATTGTTTTGTTGCCAAACAGTTTAGCCAGCATATACTGTATTTTTCGTCCTATAGGGCGCACCGGCCCATAGGACGCACCTCGGTTTTTTGGGGGGGAAATGAATAAAAAAAAAATATTCCCCCAGCCGCGGCTGCTGCCCCAAGCCTTACGCACACCTACCCGAAGCATGGGGCGCCCTCTGGAGGGCGCCCCGTGCTTCGGGCTGCTGCCTGCAAGCCTTGTGAGCCCGCAGGAACTCCCGCCGGGATTGCAAGGCTTGCGGATATCTTCCTGAAGCCTGGAGAGCGAGAGGGCCCCATAGGACGCACACACATTTCCCCTTCATTTTTGGAGGGGGGAAAAGTGCATCCTATGGGGCGAAAAATACGGTAATTGGTGGTTGAACCAATTCTTTTTCCTACTTTAAGTTATAGGATTTTTATTAAATTTTCTGTTTTACAATTTAAAATACTCATTTAAATATCCTTGAAATATCAATAGCTTCCCATCTTCTCTTTCCATGGTTCATTTTGCATATCATAAATCCCTGTGTATTTTACAAAAACTAAACCATTCAGTATTCCATTATTATTACATCCATCAAAACTGATTTACATGGTTGAATTTATCTCAATGCTGCCAAAGTTTTCAAGTGTACACAATTCCCCCCCCCCCACATTCAGTAAACGTTTTCCAATCTTCTCTAAACATATGTTCTTCTTGTTCTCTTATTCTATATGTTAAATCTGCAAGCTGTGCATATTCTGTCAACAAGTCCTTCTTTAGTTGGGACCTCACTCATTTTCCATTTTGGGGCTAACAAAACATGGGCCGCAGTAATGGCATACATAAATAACCTTTTTTGAGTCACTTTTAAGAAGATGGATGGATGTAGCACATCAGTGGCTGAGATGGAAAACAATGATTCTTTAGAGCTTCACACAGTTCAGGGCCCCCACTCTCACCTGTTAGCTGAGATTCTGTGGCAGGGGCCTCCAACAATTCCAAATATTTACTCTTCCTTTACAGGAAAGGTAGCCATCCAAAGGTTGTTGGACTACCATTCCCATCATGCTTCTGGGGTTGATGGGAGTTATAGTCCAGCTACACCTGGAGGGCACCAGGTTGGTAATTTAGGTTCTGCAGCAAGTGGTTCTCAAAGTGTTTTAGCTAATCTAATTTTTCTATTTTGCTTTTCCAACATTCAATGTTGCAAGATGTCGCCACCTGATTTGCTGACCCCCCCACCTTGTACCATATCCAAGGCATTTGTGGATCCCTTGGTGTAACTCTCAGACTTTGGAAGGTTGGCATCACTGAATCACGTCAGGTACCCGCTAGAAACAGGTGGTTGGCTCGGGTACAAATGTAGAAAGAAGGAAGCCAACACAGGAAATGCAGGTAAAAACGTCACATTTAATTGCAAGTTATTTCAGTATGAAGTGTCCTATCTTGGCCTAGCTGCAGGGAGGGAAGATTTAACAAGGATTTAATCAGAAATGGTGTCAAGAGGGTGGGGTAGTTGAGAAAACCCGCCGCCACTCTTCCCAGGGACTAAAAGGTGAATTGAAGGGGTGAAATGGGGCCTGTAATACGAACCAACATTTAGACAAGTAACTCATCATGTAGAAATTAGAATTTGGGGGTTTCCTTAGCCAGAGTTGGCAACCCTAGTTGGTTGGCAGAGAAAATAGCCTGGCTCATGTGAAATGGGTTTATTATGTAGGTTGAAAGTAGTTTTGTGTTTTGGAGCTCAGACCCCCACTTCTGCCTTGTGCTCAGTTTCTTGGGCAAGTTACAGTGGTACCTCGGGTTACATACACTTCAGGTTACAGACTCCGCTAACCAGAAATATTACCTCGGGTTAAGAACTTTGCTTCAGGATGAGAATGGAAATCGTGCTCTGGCGGCGCAGCGGCAGCAGGAGGCCCCATTAGCTAAAGTGCTGCTTCAGGTTAAGAACAGTTTCAGGTTAAGAACGGACCTCCAGAACGAATTACGTTCTAAACCTGAGGTACCACTGTACTTGTATTCTAGCCTCACCAGTTTCACCTTGTATGAAATGGGTGTTTTGTGTCTGCCTGCGTCCCCCATCCTTGGCAGCCATTTTGTGATGGTGAAGTTTGGTTTACATGCCATTACAAATTTCCGAGAACGCTTTCAAGTGACCCTGTGTTGTATGCTCCAGGGCAAAGTGGGAGATTAAAATTTCAGCTCCCTACCACATTTGGAACATTGCTGCTGTCTGGACCCAATGCCAGGTATGCATCAGTTTAAGAGGGGGCCTGACTAACCGCCCAGAACCAGCCCTGAGCAGAGAGGGCTCTTAAGTTTTTCAACTGCAGCATAATGGAAACAGCAGGCTCAGTAAAAATAAACAAATTACAGTGGTGCCTCGCAAGACGAAAAGAATCCGTTCCGCGATTCTCTTCGTCTAGCGGTTTTTTCGTCTTGCAAAGCAACCCTATTAGCGGCTTAGTGCTATTAGCGGCTTAGCGGCTATTAAAGGCTTAGCTGCTAAAAGGCTATTAGCGGCTTAGAAAAGGGGGGGGAAGTGGGGGGGGAATCACAAGACTAGCAAGACGTTTCGTCTTGCGAAGCAAGCCCATAGGGAAATTCGTCTTGCGAAGCAACTCAAAAACGGAAAACCCTTTCGTCTAGCGGGTTTTCCGTCTTGCGAGGCATTCGTCTTGCGGGGCACCGCTGTACCTATTTCGCACAAGACTTACGGAAGAGGGGCAGTGTGTTATATCCATTCTGGTTGTGAAGAAAGAGATTTTCTTCCTCAACAGATAGCATAGAAATTTACGGTAAGTTGCTGTTGGTTGGAAGAAGGATGGAGTGGCTATGGACAAATCCTGCTCAGTGCTTTCCATCAGCCTGCTTGCTCGCTTGTATGGAACTCCTGATCGCTTGTGGCGACCATGCTAGCTAGCTCTTCACCACAAAGCTTCCTGGCCCTTTTGGAATGTCGATGCAGATCTTCGCTTGGCTTGTGAGTCTTTCAAAGTCAGTTTGAAACGTTGGTTAGGGCTGAGCAACCGTTAAAAGAGCAACCCTATCCTGCAGCTGGGATGCGGGTGGTGCTGTCGGTTAAACCACAAAGCCTAGGGCTTGCTGATCAGAAGGTCGGCGGTTCAAATCCCTGTGATGGGGTGAGCTCCCATTGCTCAGACCCTGCTCCTGCCAACATAGCAGTTCAAAAGCACGTCAAAGTGCAAGTAGATAAATAGGTACTGCTCCAGCGGGAAGGTAAACGGCATTTCCGTGTGCTGCTCTGGTTCGCCAGAAGCGGCTTAGTCATGCTGGCCACGTGACCCGGAAGCTGTACGCCGGCTCCCTCGGCCAATAAAGCGAGATGAGAGTCACAACCCCAGAGTCGGCCATGACTCGACCTAATGGTCAGGGGTCCCTTTACCTTTAAAATCATGTCTACTCTGAAGCAAGTTCTTTTGGATACAATGGGGCTTCCTGTCAGGCAAATGGGGTTCAGATTGTAGCCTTAAGAGTTGAACGAGGGAGGGAAGAGCCACCTTTTGGTTTATAGTCTTTGGATATCCTGGCAGTTACTTACAATGTGCAATAGGGGCTGTTCGCTGATTATTTTTCAATTAATTTTGCACATGTCCTTTGACAGCCACTATTTCTGCCCCTTTCTTCAGCCTGCAGGTCACACTGATGATCCTTGCTCAGCCTTGACGTCGTGGAGAGGATATTGCCATAGTTTCTTCCTGAACACGCTCGTTTTTAATGGAGATGTTAGGGAGCGCGGGAGGTATTGGGAATATCGTCTGAGTCATTGCCCAAGAAGTCAAGGTCCCTCTTTCTTAAAAGCTGGCCTGATTGCAGTGAAGATATTGTGAGGGAAAGAGCTGGCTATGCCGAGGTATGCAATTAGCTGACTGTTTGGGGCCCAGAGGGACGCGGGTGGCACTGTGGGTAAAAGCCTCAGTGCCTAGGGCTTGCCGATCGAAAGGTCGGTGGTTCGAATCCCCGCGGCGGGGTGCGCTCCCGTTGCTCGGTCCCAGCGCCTGCCAACCTAGCAGTTCGGAAGCACCCCCGGGTGCAAGTAGATAAATAGGGAACGCTTACTGGCGGGAAGGTAAACGGCGTTTCCGTGTGCTGCGCTGGCTCACCAGATGCAGCTTTGTCACGCTGGCCACGTGACCCGGAAGTGTCTCCGGACAGCTCTGGCCCCTGGCCTCTTGAGTGAGATGGGCGCACAACCCTAGAATCTGTCAAGACTGGCCCGTATGGGCAGGGGTACCTTTACCTTTACCTTGGGGCCCAGAAATGCATTTTGTAGAGCAGAGGTGAGGAGAACCTCTAGCCTTCCAGATGTTGATGGACTACAACTCCCATCATCCTTTGATGCCTGGGACGCTGATGGGAGCTGGGAATCCAGCAACACAACACCTGGTGTGAAACTATTAAGTTTGGGGAAACACAAAGCGACTTTAAATGCATTCTATATCCTTCCTGAGATTCTTCATACTCTCACCCTGAACTCCATTGTCTCCAGGATTATGATGTGACCCCAGCGTGGGGCTGCCAGGCACTGTGGAGCAGACTTCACCGCTGCCTCTCCCTACCAGCTCTTGGCTCTTGCTGCTCAGCTCACAGCCCTTCTCTTGCATTGATATTTGGGGCAGCAGCCAGCTGTACTCATAGGAAGAGCATGGAAATGGGCAGAAGCAGGAACAAAAGCCCCCTGACTTGGTCGTCGTCGTTCCCCCCCCCCCCCCACTGATGTTTGGAAAAAAGAACTTGGGCAACCTCTGAGTGCAACTCTCTTCCTAGGTACAGAAGTGCGGTGCTGTCCAATCCTAACCAGTAGATGACCAGGAGCTCCAGGAGCTGGAGTTTGGGAGAAGAGAGGAATTAGCTCTCCTGTGTGAACTAACACAAGGGGCAGCTGCTGTTGCTGTTCGGAGGATCTGCAGTCCCAGGAGGTGTGACTTTATCATGTATATGGCTATCTGCCTGCTTTACTGTAAGCTTAATAAATTGGAATTATATAACCTGTAAGTCTGAGAAGGAAATGGATTAAGAATCGAAGTGGTGGGGCATAGCAATTAACAATAATTTTGGGTTTGGGAGCCTGAAGGAGGGCTGTAGGGAGGGGGCTGCTGGGACCAAAAAGCCCAGCATTAGGAAAGGCTGCCATAGGAATCGTGGGATGAGCATTTTCATCCTTGTCATCTACCTACATTCTGCTTTTTTAAAGAAAAAATCCCAGTTAAACTATATAGTAAACCTGCAACATAAGCTCCCTTTACATACACAGTTGCAATTGGATGTGGTTGGTTTTGTTTAGGGGGCGGGTGTTAAATAAATAAATAAATAAATAAATAAATAAATAAATAAATAAATAAATAAATAAATAAATGGGAGAGTGGAGGAAATCCACCATTCCTGGCTCGGCATTTATTCTCTCTCCCCCCCTCCCCCATGCACCCAGTGGGTTTTCTTGTTTACCAGGCTTTGGAAAGGTTGTAGGACGACTCTGGGAAGCTCCTAGAACCTTCATGCCTTCTCCCCCAAGGTGGATAAGCAGCCCTTCCACCTTGCAGGGTCCAGGGATTCCAAACTTTGCACACAGGCCCCTGGACCTGAACCCGAACCCATAAGTAAGTTGGAGGGGTTTTGGGGTCCAGTGTGCTATGTGCATGCCTTTGTTCAGAACTTTTGCATCCAGCTATCCTTCCACATGAAACATACCCCACCCCTAGCACAATATGGAATCCAGATCCAGCCTATTCAACAAAACTTGTAAATGGAACCATGCATGGTTGCCATATAATCCATGGTGAACTTACAACTTTGGGCGGTGCTAATTTTCTAGAGAAAAAGGTGCCAGAACTCTCCACGAATGCCTCCCGTGTTCTCCTTTAATGGCAATGGTGCCCACCTGAGAGGTGCCAGAACTGAGTTCTGGCAAGTTCCAGCTGGCAGGGAAAGCTCTGACTTTGGGAATTGAAGATTATCTGCACATGCAAACAAAAAGTACATAAGTGTAAACTTCTTTGGCTCTTAATTGGAAAGGGCTAGAGTAGTAGCCTTGCATACAGAAGGCTGCAGGATCAACACTCAGCATCTAGGGTTGGGAATCCTAGAAAACTATTACCACTCAGTGTAGACAAGACTGAGCTAGGTGGTCTGACTCAGTATAAAAAAAGCATCAGTTTTCATCTTATATTTTCCACGCTTTGGCAAACGCTTAGTTCCAAAACTTGGAATGGAGCTCTTTGCTGCTGGGGCAGGACATAGTCAAAAGCTTGGCTGGGCATCCAAGAACTAGCAACACACTTCTCTGATTCATAGTCTTTAATATATTTAATACATTAGATGAGCCATTGCAAATCAAAAGGAAATTGTTAAATTCATACAGCTTACAAAATGAAGTGAACACACCCCAGTTGAAAGTATCCACATGTTTGTTTCAGTTTTGCTTTCAGTATTGTTCCAAGAAATCGGTTTAGGAACTGTGCAAATAAACAAAAGGGTCTCTATCAGAACGATTGCCCCGACGACTTTGTATATGCTCTTGGAAGGTCACAGCAGCATCTATAGCGATGGAACTGGCAGTGACCCTATGCAGTTTTCTGAACTCTGAAGTGTAGAGTCAAAGGAGCCTGATGTCAATCCACCAATGCCATCATTTTGAGGAGTTTCGCCTTTCAGAAAGTCATCTTCCTCTTCACCTTTGCACTGCACACACACAAAAAAGGAAACAGAAGTACTTTTCACTTGATTTGTTGTTTCACTCCGCTATCTAGACTAAGGATTTTGTACCAGACCAAAAAACACGGGAACAAACGTACTCCAAGGCAAGGCATCACATCAAAACTAAAGACGGTGTTTGAATAAAATTGCTCACCTCATTAATGGAGTCTGTAGCCTCTATGAGGTCTTCAGAACACTCCTCTTCCCAAAACTGATATAATGGGTTGATTATGTTCTTTGATCTGCAAAAGGCATGATATAAAGAGAGTAGAAGAAAGCAGATACATGTGCTGATCACAAGGCCATTCCGGTGCCATCCAGATTCCCTTACAGTGGAAGGGGCTATCCTTCAATGGGTTAGTTCCCCCACTGCAAGAGGGCAAAGTCAGTTTAATGGTCATTCTATACAGTACCAAGTCTTCTCCCAATTGCCTAACTCTGAGGCCAGGTGGCCACGCCAGTGCTTTCTAGACTTATCCTCCCCTCTGCCTTAAAAGGACATGGAAACGTTAATAATGAAGACCATCCTACATGCCAATAGCAAACTCAGTTTGAGCAGCCAGAACAACACTTTGTATGAACAAGAGGGGAGCCATCAACAAGCTCAGAGGTTTCAAAAGTAAAAAATGGAACACGCACCAAGAGGAAATGAGAACCCCACAAACAGTGCAACTGGTACTGAGCAAAGACTCTCCCCACCACAGTCCTACGCTGGTGCCGCACCAAAGTATCCAGCTGGACACAGCTGCACAAGATTGGCATGACACAGTTCCTCCCCTCCCAGACTGCCACAACACAACTGCATCAAGAACTTGTAATGGGAAACGAAAAGCAAAATACAGCCTGTAAACCTGAGCTGAAAACAGTAAGGAGTGCTTTGCTTGGAAGTGCCGAGGAGGCTCTTTCCAAAGTAAGTAAAATAAGGTTCGCTGATGTCTGGAATTAGATACCTTTTGAGAATATAAGGGTCAAACGGGAAATAGCTGTCAAGGGGGTTTGTGCAAGTCTCAACAGAGTCACCCCCACAGCTGCTTCTTACAACTGGCAAAACCTGCCGCCTGTTCCTCTCGATGATGGTGTCGCAGAATGCGATTTGGTATTTCCTGGAAGAGAGCAAAAATGGCTGGCTGAAGTTTCTCTTTTAAGAAGAGAGATGCAACCACAAAAACAAGCGCACCAAAAACAGCTAAGCCCCTTTCTATTGGCTCAGGTGGGACCCAATCACATCTGGCTTCTCCTCCCCCAGTACTGGCACTCCCACAATGAGTGACTAAAATTGCATACATTGGGAGCACCCTGGGGGGCAGCAGGGCTTGCACAGCTGAGATGCTGGGCAGGGGGTTGAATTTACTGTCACAATTCGGCCTTCCAGCCTACAAGCATTGTCCAAACAAGCAGAGCACACATCTGCAAGGGCCTATTATTAGAAAACAGAAATATATTTTGACATCTATATTTCTGTATTCAATTAACAATATTCAATAGAGCTTTTTTTTTTTTTTTTAAGACGCTTACCTGGTAATGGCAGCAAAAAAATTCACAATGGAAGGCAAGCAGACCTTCAGGGGGTTTAGCTGGCACATCACAATGCGTTCAAGGTTTAAGCTCTGCAGGAAGGCCAAACCTTCAAAACAAAACGAGCAAAGAACATTTAGCGCTTGGGAAAGCGAAAACTGGGCAGTATGCATTTTTCACAATGCCCATGAGCCTCAGTGCCGCTTTGAATGCTACAGGAGAAGAGTGTTTGTTACTAAAAGCTGCACACATGCTACAAGAAGGCACAGTCAGGCCTGGCTTCCTGGCAGATAAAACATACAGCGTGAATGCTACTAAATGCTTTAAATGCATTGAATAGGAATGTCTAAAACAGTCTCCACCGGAGATGGTGTTATCTGGTGTGTCAAAGGAAAGTTAGGAACACAGAAAGCTGTCATGCCAAGGCAGACCACTACTCAGTATTCTGCACAGATGGCCAGTAGCTCTCCAGGGTCTCAGCCCTACTTGGAGATGCTCTACCATTGAGCTATGGCCCTCCTAATTCAATTGAATTAACTCCAGTTCGAAAGAGGAATCTTCTACATGCTCTTCCACCCAGGATTTGTTCTGCTCTGTAAACTTATTCATGGCTCCCCAACTGAGAACTCCAAAGATGTGCCCAGGTATTAATGAGAACAGTCCCCACGCAGCTGCTTCTCGCTGTGAGCCATTCAGCTATTAAACTGCCAAATTCTGCCTGAGCTGTGTTTTTCCCGTATACACACCTTTCTTTAGGTTTCCGTCCACTATTTGCTTGTGACGAAAGATGATCACGTAGAACGCAGCCTGGCAGGCGGCATAAAAGGGCCCGTGAAGAGTGATGTCGCAAAAGGCTTTCGCCCCTGTGCCCTGGTTGTCGATGTACACGTGCAGCCAGTTGACCAGCAAGTCCAGGCAGGTTTTCACTGTACTGCAATGGGACCAAAGGGGAAAAAAGCCTAATTAAGGGCAGCTGTCCCGCATTTCACAAGTGAGTCGCTGGCTACCATTTGGGACAAGGTGCAACTACATTCTTGTTAGCAGTTCAGGCTTGGTCACAAAGCCAGAAACGCATCTGGGCGTGCCAAAAGCCTTCCATCTTTTTGCAAAACAAAACCAGTATTTGGAAATCAGCTGAAAGGACTCCAGCTACAGAGCAGAGCAATAAGGGAATTGAAGCAAGCAGAAAGGGTGAATGGCAGTAGCTGGAGTCCAGGTGAAGATTGAAGGCTTAAGGTGTATACAGTGATGCACCTGAAGTGAGGAAAGCAGATAAGTAAATACCTCATGTTACGTTCTGTCAGGATACATCCTGCAGTGACCCAGAAGTACCAGAAAGGGTTACTTCTGGGTTTTGCCGCTAGCGCATGCGCAGACGCACAAAATGATGTCACACGCATGCGCAGAAGCAGCGAATCGCAACCCACGCATGCGCAGACGCACTGCTGCGGGTTGCACTCTTTTCATGTTGCAAACGGGCCTCTGGAACGGATCCTGTTTGCAACCAGAGGTACCACTGTACCAGAACACTGCTGTTGTAAGATTCAGAGGAAACAGAAGGAAGTACTTCACACAGTGCATCATTAAAGGAGTTCGATCCTATAAGATGGTAGTGATGGACGGCTTTAAAAGAGGATTCCACATATTCAAGGAGAAGGCTTTCCAATTTCTACAAGCCATGCTCTCCTTCCACTGCCACAGCCAATATGCCTCTGAAGACCAGCTCCTGGGAATCGCAAGTGGGGAGTGTGCTGTCGTGCTCAGGTCCCGCCTGGGGGCTTCCCACAGGTTGAGCAAAGCGAGAACAGGATGCTGAACTAGATGGCTTTTGGCCTGACGCTGGAGGACTACTCATGTTTTTGCACAGACAAGTCAGAGCAAGCGCTGACTTGAAGAAGGGCTTAAGACAAAATTCCTTGTGTGGTTCTGGACATCAAAGTCTTGACCACCAGACGCCAGAAAAGAAGCTTGGTTATGGGGACCTCTCTACCTATAATGCTATTCAAGACTTAGCTCAGAGGTAGGTAATCTGTGGCTCTCGGGATGTTCTGGGACACTCCATCTCCCATCCTTTGCATTCTACTGCCCCAGGCAGCTGCCTGCACAGCAGAATGGGACACCAAAAATAGGAAACACTTTAGCAGTTCAGGATAAGCTAGTCCTTGGGAAAGGTATGTAAGCTCAGTAGTACACCATCTGCTTTGCATGCAGAAGATCCCAGATTCAAACCCTGGCATCTCCAGATCAGGCTGTTCCCCACCCAAAACCCCGGAGAGCTGCTGCCAGTCAGAGTCAGACAATACTGAGCCAAATGGGCCATTGGTCTGACAGCGTAAGGCAGCTTCCTATGACAGCTAAGTATCTATTGCATTAGCTCCTCCACTGCACTCCTCAATTCCACATATCTAGCCTTGCACAGCAGATCAGTTAACTACAAAAAGTTGGTAGGCTACTTACACAACCGGAACAAACTTTGCCCGTGCCAAAAAGCTGCCGGTGTAGTTGGCAGCAGCCTGCCTGATCACGGCTGGAGTATTTGGATTACGAAGCATTTTCCAAAGATGCTCCACAAAGGCTTCTGCAATTCCCTGTAAGACAGAGTCATACGTGGCAAGACATCAAATGCCGTGGAAACTAAATCCATGGACTCTATTTGCAGGCATCAGTTACTTCTGGGAGTAGGGGGTGAGGAACATGTAGCCCTCCAGGTTGGCTCCAACTCCCATCAGTCCCAGCCAGCATGTCCAATGATCAGGGATGAGGGGAGATGTGAGTCCAGGAACATCTGAAAGTCCAGCCTGACTTCAGGGAGATACCCAGCAAACAGGGACCTATTATTATTATTATTATTATTATTATTATTATTATTATTATTGACTTAAGAAAATTTTATAGACGGGAAAATGAAGAAGTCTAAGTTAACATTGCCTTCTACCAATAAGAAATAATAATAACTATTACAATAATGAAAATACTAAAAATACATTTACTTCCCCTTTTGAACTTTTATTCTGGTTACAATATATTACTATTCTATAAGAATCTATTATATCCTTTGCTGACCCATATATTATTTTATTTCCCAAATTCAACCTAACCCTCCCCCATTTCCCCACTGCTTCCCTTCACCTGTGTGAGATCTTTCCAACATATTTCTTTCTAGCTGCTTTAACAAAATAAGGTAACATGAAAACTAATAAATTATAATTACTTCTGATGTCCTTACATGCTTAACAATTGCCTATTAAGAGTTCTGCTTTCACACCATATTTCTTCATGTATTCCCCTATGCATTCCCATTCTGTATAGAATCTTTGATTGGAGAAGCCCCTGACTGATGCCGTCATATTTGCCATCTCGGCAAACCCACAAATCTTAACTTGCCATTCTCATTTGTGGTACTTTTTCTGTTTTCCAACATTCTTGCGGCTGCGGTTATATACAAAAATATATTCCTTTTGTCCTTGGGTAAGTCATTTGTTATTGTTTGTCAAACGGCAAACAGGGACCTTTTTGGCAGTGAAAGCAATCAACATGCCTGCGTATGTTGGAAGTAGTGTCCTTACTCAGATCTTGCTCACAAAGAAGACTGCGGATGCTTTTAGCTCCGACCCCCAAGGCCTAGGCCACAGTTCCTTGCAGCCCCCCGCCCCACACATTTAGGGGATCTGGGATGGCTCCCCACATCAATAAGTGGGAGCAAAGCACGGCAAGAGAGGCAATTAACTATACGCACCAGTTTGAAGCTAGAGAGGTAGAACATGATGTACTGCACGTGACATGAGCCATGGGTCGGCAAAATGAGCTTATCAAACACTGTCACCAGATCCCGATACAAATCCTTGGTGTTGCCAATATCAAGCTTCCCTAAGAACAAAAAAACATTTCTGTTACCGCAGCACTGTACCAAGAAACAGCATGCCTATTTTTCATGTTTACAGTAATGTTTTTCAAATCAAAATTTTGTCAGCCAACCAAATGCAGGTTATAGCAAGAAACAAAAGAAAAGCAAGCAATTTTAGCAAGCAAGCAGTGGCAGTAAATATAAACATATGTAATAAAACACATGTAATACACAAAAACATAACACGTATACAGTGGTACCTCAGGTTACATACGCTTCAGGTTACATACGCTTCAGGTTACAGACTCCGCTAACCCAGAAATAGTGAAAACAAATTTTTTTTTCCTTCCAGTAGCACCTTAAAGACCAACTAAGTTAGTTCTTGGTATGAGCTTTCGTGTGCATGCACACTTCTTCAGATACACATGTGTATCTGAAGAAGTGTGCATGCACACAAAAGCTCATACCAAGAACTAACTTAGTTGGTCTTTAAGGTGCTACTAGAAGGAATTTTTTTTTGTTTTGACTATGGCAGACCAACACGGCTACCTATCTGTAACCAGAAATAGTGCTTCAGGTTAAGAACTTTGCTTCAGGATGAGAACAGAAATCGTGCAGCAGCGGTGTGGCGGCAGCAGGAGGCCCCATTAGCTAAAGTGGTGCTTCAGGTTAAGAACAGTCCTCCGGAACGAATTAAGTACTTAACCCGAGGTACCACTGTATCAGGTCGCAAAGCTTGTCTCATGGGTTTTCCCAAGTTGGGAAGGTTTCACAGCACACACAGCTGTATTGAACATAACAGGCTTAGCCAGGTTAGGCAGCAGGTGTTTGATTTTGTCGATGTCACTAAGAGTGGCAATCAGCTCTAAAAAAATATTTAAATATTTTGTCTAAAAAGACACTGATAAAACTCCACATGGCTAATCTCATCTGGCATAACTTTCTCCTGCCCTTAATACAAACATCTACACACAGGCCTGTCTTGCTTCCTCTTACCCACTTTAAGCCTGCAGCACTATATTCAGGAATCTCCTGCTAGGTTGTCCCACAGATTATTTCTATCATCTCTGCTGCCTCCTCACTATCTATCTCAAAGAAATAATTTAACCACATTGTGTAGGGGGTAATTACCATTCACATGGCAGATATCTTTAACGTATGAAAACAAGACAATCATCAGGATGTCTAGGCGTTCTGCAACTGGGTGAGCCATCACCTCATTCTTGTCTGGGTTTTCTCCATCTTCATCCTATTAAATTAAAAGTCTTGAATAAAGAGTACTTAACTCTGGTAACGTCTGGAAAAATCACCATTGTGGAGAAGCTTATGTATCAAATGTACATCATCATCACCATCATCAACATTAAGGGGGAAGTAAAACAGGATGCCTTCTGTTCAGAAGGGAGGTTTATTTTTCTTGCTAATGAGAAAAATTCAGGTAAATGCAGAGCCCTTATTGTGTCTTCATCTAAATTATACACAAAGTAGTGAGAATTTCAGAAAACATCAAAAACAGATGTTATATATATTAACTACAGCAAGGATATTATTTGCTAAACCATGGAAGCAAAGCCAGGTTCTGAGAAAGCAAAAATTAATTAAAAATATATGGGAAAAGCTGGAATTTATAAAGTTAACAAGGATGGTACACCCATATAAAATTGTGAGAAAACTGGTAAATGGAATCCAACAATCAAACACACACACACACAGCTCTCTATGTATGAGATAGGTATAACATATTCAGGGTCCTATTGTTTCCTGCTATAAAGGAAATATATGCAAATATTTAAATATTTGATACTGAGATTTTTTTAGAGATAATTTGAACATTTATTAAAAGTAGACTGACATTCAACCTATATTTTTGAAAGTGCTACAAAAAATAATTGTGATGTCAAAGATTTCGTTATCGAGATATTGTAGGAATACTGAAAGGCTTATATAATAGGGTGTGTTGCATTAAATAACATTCTTACTAATATTTGTATTATCATGTATTATTTGTATTACCAAGAACATGGATTCCCCCAAAGAATCTGGGATCCACAGTTTGCTAAGAGTGCTGGGAACTGTAGCTTGGTGAGGGGGTAAACTACAGTTTCCAGGATTCTTTGAGGGAAACCATATGCTTTGCACGTGTGGCTCGGATGTGACCAGTTGCACTGCTCAATAAGCACACTTGCCATGTCAAAGAGTCCTTCTTCAGCAGCCCCTTCGCTCTCATCCTCTTCAGCAGCTTCAATCTCTTTTCTTGGAGCGCTCACCTGTTGTAAGGAGTAAGGATACTGAACATTTCTAAAGGCGTTTGATACGCGTGCAAATGAAGGTGCACAACAATTCTTAAAACTTAGATATCCCGCCCCCAGCTGAAAAGGTAATGGGTTTGATTGAAATATTACCCAATGTCACATTTATATCCTGCCTTAATTGCAAAGAGCTCAAGACAGCACACATAGGGGAGAATGCTCCATTGTGCAAGCAGAAATCCTTGTGCTGATGAAACTTTCAAAGAATCATAGAATTGTAGAGTTGGAAGGGACCCTAAGGGTCATCTAGTCCAAGCGATGCAGGGATCTCAAGTGCATGCAGAGCTACTTTGGACACAACCCCTATAATTTACTTTCCCACCCAGGAACAGGGCAAAAGCAGGCTATCCATTAAAGCCAGTCTAATAAAACCATCTATACAACCATCTCTTTTGTCCACTTTTTATAAACACTGACCTGGAGATGGTATGGACCAGGCATAGGCAAACTCGCCCCCCAACTGTTTTGGGACTACAACTCCCATGATCCCTAGCTAGCAGGACCAGTGGTCAGGGATGATGGGAATTGTAGTCCCAAAAACATCTGGAGGGCCGAGTTTTCCTATGCCTTCCTTTTCTAAAATGTAATAGAAAATAAAGGTGAAAGAATTAAGTCTTTTACGAACCACACTCTATACTTACATCAATCTTTAATACCCTTTCAATAACCAGCTCCAGAATGTCATGCCTCAGAGTTGGGATATATCCGCTGATTCGTAGCATGTTATGCACGTAGCACTGCTGCAATGGAATGTCCCCACAAAAACGATAAATTAAAAAACATATACAAAAAACGTTCTTCTTGTATAGAAAACCATTTGAGTACTAAGGCTAACGAGCCTCTTCAATTTGTAGTTTAAACACACCGCAGATTGGATTTTCTCAAGGTGGGCCTTTGTTTTTCAGTTTCATGCTGCTTGAGCTTCAGCAACATAGGTATGGGTCAGGGATTTTTTTATGGTGTAAGGCACCACACAACAGAAGGGACCACAGCTCAATCATAAAGATGGGGTTTTGCATGAAAGAGGTTCCAGGTTCAATCCCTGCCAATATCCTCAGTTAAAAGGAAATCAGGCAAAGGGAGATAGGAAAGCAAAACAGCCAAAGCAGAAAATCCCTGGTGAGATGGAAAGACGAAGAAGGCATTAACACTTGAAGGAATAGAAAAAGCTTCTACATGCTGACAGTTCTCTATGCTTATCCTGTATCTGCACCATCAAGATCTGTGGAAGCTCAACTTCTGCCACTTTTATTTCAAGAGGGTCATTAACAATAGCACTGATGCAAGACACACAAAGGAAAATTCCATTTTAAACTGAAGGCTGATTACTTACCAGGGTTCTTTCTGATTTGTTAACGAAGGGAAATTTGTCAACGAGCACCGGCATGAGAAACTGCGGTGTCCTGCAATGCAAGTGTAAAGAAGCTTCAAAATAAGTTTGAACATGGGACAGCCCATTAAACAATCTCAGCAAATGAAACATTTCAGGAGCTGAATGATGAAAGTCATATAAAAAAAGAGGCACAGGCATTGATTCACAATACTGTTTTCCACCCAAGTTTGAGACAGATTTCTTAACATAAATAAGGGACTGCTTAAGAAAAGTATACAGTAATGCTATAAATAAGATTACTGGGCTATCTTGCACATATTATCTCTCGGTGGAGCAATTACAATTTAATCAATTTATTACATAAATACATAAATTATTAATTTCATTTATTGACTGATTTTAATTGGTCACATCTAGTTTATCAGGAAAAATAAAAAACAGCCCCCAACAGCACAGTGTACACATGCAAAGTCTTTAGTCTTTTAAAAGACTCATTGGAAACTCAAGGTGGAGAATTAGATCTGTCCTCAGGGAAGAATAATCACACATGCGGTTAATCGAGAGTAATTTATTCCCTACCAAGATAGTTCACTCGCAATCATACTCCACCTAAAATCATGCACTGAATTGGGGGGGGGGGAATACACTTTATACATTAAGCAATTTAATTGAAAATACAAATTATTATGATAATTCAGTAGCACCCTAAACACAGGATTAAGGCTTCTCTTTCTTACAAGCTTTCACACGTCATACCGTAACCGATTACAACAGTAATACAGAGGAACCAATCTAGGGGAAAACATACTGTATTTTGCGCCCCATAGGACACACTGGCCCATAAGGCGCACCTAGTTTTTTTGGGGGGAAATAAAGAACAAAATTTTTATTCCCCCCCCCCAGGCGTGGGGCTGGGGCGGGGGAAGCCCGAGCTTCCCCCCGACCCCAGCCCCCAGAACAGGCTGCTCTGCGCAAGCCGTGGGAGCCCTCCCGCAGCTTGCGCAGAGCTATCCAAAGTCCTGACGCGACTGCTGAGCGCGCCGGGGCTTCGGGATAAGAGGCGGCTCTGCGCAAGCCGGTGGAGCCCTCCCGCGGCTTGCGCGGAGCTACCCGAAGCCACTGCGCGACTGCCCAGCGCGCCGGGGCTTCGGGATAAGAGGCAGCGCTGTGCAAGCCGGGGGAGGGCTCCCGCGGCTTGCGCAGAGTTTCCAGAAGCCTGAAGAGCGAGAGGAGTCGGTGCGCACCAACCCCTCTCGCTCTCCAGACTTCAGCGAAAGCCTGCATTCGCCCCATAGGATGCACACACATTTCCCCTTCATTTTTGGAGGGGGAAAAGTGCGTCCTATAGGGCGAAAAATACGGTAATTTGAGGGCTGCTAAACGTATTTATACCAATTAATACCACTGACCTATTTTGCACTACAGAATATTATCAATTTAGGTAGCTTTGTCACTTGAAGCTAATATGCAAGATGTGTGATTGTGTTTCAGCTAGCAGGTAGAAAAGGCTATGAATTAACTTAGGGGATGTACCAAATCAATCATTATGTACTTACAAAGGGACGTATTTTGCAATTGTTTGCAGTGCTCTATGGCAAGTGTCAAAGCCTTCAGTAACATCTGCAAGAATTGAACATCATCAAACATGTATGTTAATCCAGAAATTTTTCTTATATATTCATGTTAGATTTTATGGGAGCACTTCCTTAAGCACTTAAGGTGGACAGATTTGGTGCTATTATATTGTTTAAACTTTATGTCTAATATATGGGAGTGGCAGGGCTGGGCGATAACTGGTTTTCATCATTGTGATATATCACCTGCTACACATTACAATATACTGATATATCAAGATGTCTGAAATAAAAATGGAGCTATGTAGAGCCATTGGCTGGCTTCACGGTTTACACCACATTGTGATTTTTTGCATAGCACACATACAGTACACATCATGATTTGCGATATATCGCCAGGTCAAAAATTATGAAACTGAAATCATGATATGGACTTTAAACCGGTTTTGGACAATATATTGATATATCACCCAGCCCTAGTGAGTGGCAACAGCTGCTAGCTTAGATAGCTTTTAAAACAAATTAGGTGAATTCAAGGAAGGTAAGTCTATCAATAGCTCCTGCTGTATGCAACCTCCAAGTTTCATTCAATGGAAAGCCACAAATATCAGAGAGAACTAGATTTCACCCTTAACCTTAACCCTAGAAGCACCAGTGTAGTAAAATGAAAATAATACGGAACACAGGAAGCTGCCTTATACTGAGTCAGCTTACACTGACTGGCAGCAGCTCCCCCAAGATTTTGTGTTAACATAACTGACCATTAGACATGAAATGGCTACTCACTTTCATCATCATCTGAATCCGAAATGTCCACATCGTTCTCTTGAATGGTTATTCGAGCTAGGCGGAAACAGAATTATTCTATTATTATACACTTCACGTGAGAATCTGATTGCCAAACTTAAGTTCAAATTGAATACGGCCACCTGGTCAACAATACAAGGCAGAAGAATAGAAAACCAAAACTCACGCGGTACAAAGTGCGAGACAATCATTGCAAGACATGGCCTAAGGTAGATTGTCTGTGCCGACACCAAGTTGCTCAGGAAAGCCAAATACTCTTCCACCACAGCCTGGCTCCTTTTCAGCCACTGCACCCTCTGCAAAGTTACACATACACTTAAGTTCGAACGCACGTTGCACAGACTGAATCAAGACCAAGAACAGCAAACATTAGAAATGGCACACTCTTACCAATAAGATGCTGACTAGTTGTTCAAACTCCTTGGTCAAGAGTGTAACGGAAGACCGAAACTCACCCAGCCAGTTTATAATCTGGTCATCCTGCAAACAGAACCAATTTCTCTTTAATAATCTGAACTTTATAAGGTGTGTAAAAAAAAACCAACAACAACGTATTAGTAATGGTTTATAAGGTGTGTAAAACAACAACAATGTATTAGTAACAGTTATTTTTTTTAAAACTAAGTTAATCTGACAGAAGGGCTATTAGGCTTCCACATATCAATCATTACTGGGAGTGTGATGCCACCTTCTAGTGTGATGAGTGACCAGTCTTCCTCTCTAGTTTGAAGCTGGAGAGTATGCAGGGTTCATCTATGCAGTTGTGTAGTGATCCTAACCCTTCCCCAGCTCTAGGGCTGGAAGAAAGGCCAGGAACTCTGTAGCAGTTGTGTGGCTAAGGTGTCCAGGGCACCTCTGGATGACCCCTGCTCCCACCCACCTCTCCCGTGGGAAAGGCAAGTGCATAATGGGCTAGGATGGCAGCTGCCAGACAGAGGCACTTCCAGGCAGACTTTCCTGTAATGAAGGCGGAATGGAGTGGGGTGCCTCTTGGGCTGTTGTTGGTCAGTGGCCAGGCCAGGAGGGAAGGACGGCAACATGGCAACCAGCAAGGCCAGAAAAACACACGCTGGGAACCCATCAAAGCAATTGGGGAGACAAAGTATAGGGCCTACTGGACAGCGGCTCCTTAATTACAGAACCCCATCCCTCCATATGCTGTCAGTTGTGATGATTTTGAAGTACACTCAAGTCTCTTTTCCAGAGCTTTTATTAACTTGTTCGTGATTTTTCGACATTTAATGGCTTACAATGGATCTTGAGGTTTCGGCTGCTGTTTTGTTACCGGTTCTGGTATACGTAGTAAATTTTATACTGAAAAACTGAGGGAACTTTTCTTTTTTTGTAGACACAACGACACTACCTTCACATCGGTCAAAAAAACAGACATATTGCTGGTGGTCCCTAAGTTGGATTTGGAACCGAGCTCTTAAAAAATTGTTCCCCCCCCCCATGGGAAATAGCTGAGTCCTTTTGAACCCAACTGTGTGCATATTTCAGACCCTGTTGTGCCTGTTGTGCCTCCAGTAATATCACTGGAAGCACAACAAGGCCTGATCCCTCTCTCAATGAGCCCCCAACAATCCCATTCCTTATCTTTGTTGCTGCTCTGCCAATGGAAGCATAGATGGTCTCTTTTGCCCCTTCCCTCTTTGACACCAAACACAAAGATTCAAGGAGCAATGGGTAACATACGGAGCCAGCAGCACTGAGCAAACCACATTAGCCAGCATTCCTTGTGTCTGACATGCAGCATGCCAGGCATTAAAAGGATAGTGCACAATTCCCCTCCATTCCTCTAGTGCCAGAACAATTACAAGGGTAAAGGTGGGAGTGAGCTAGGGACAGAGGGAAACCATAAGTTCCTATGTAGCTTAGCTTTTATCCAAGCCTCTGGGCTTGTAAGGCTTCCTTGAAATCAAGTCTAGCATTACACGCCTGTATTCTAAGCTGTGGTCAGATCTGTTACTGATTATCCTAGTTATAATCATAAATGGTACACAAAACTGCAACAATTCATTCTGGTTCATTTTTTTCTTACATTTAAGAAGTCATGCAGAGCACTGAAATACTTGGATGAAAAAATCCTTACTTTTAAGTCTGGATCTAACAGCTGATGCTTCAACAAATCAAATTCAGTTGTCTCACCCTTCAAAACAAAAACATGAATTAAGTTATACCCTAACAAATCATGCAGCCTTGCATCAAAGCTTATTCGATCCCTATTGAAAATAAATAGAGAGACACATTGGGCATATTACTGTTTCAAAGCATAAAAGCAATTAATAGAGGTTCTCTTCTCTCTCTTTTTGCAACATATGTTAATAACTTTACTGTAGCTCCCCAAAACCTTTTTTCCCCTTCAGATTTAGTGACTATATCTTGTTTTCCTTTCACTTCTTTTGGTGAAAATAACTAAGATACTGCCAGAGACAGTGGGGGTATACAGCTAAAAGACAATCTCTTAAGGCCAAACTTGCATTTTTCATTAAAAAAAACACCACCTTTCAATATAGTCAGAAAATACAAAAAATGAGACAGATAACCATACTACCTTTTGGTATTTTAGAAGGATGTCTGTCAGTGTCCCACCAAATCTGACTGTTTTCCTTGGTGGAGATTTTAGAAATTCATCTGCAGCCAACATGTCAGCAGTCCTAGGCAGAATAAAATATATGAATGAACACAGTAAGCCAATGCTTGAAAGTGTGTGTGAGAAACCAGCAAGGAATGAATACGTGTGTGTGTGTGTGTGTGTGTGTGTGCTAAACTCCATACAAGCAAGGGTTCTGAACACACTTCCAATTTTGAATTACAATTTTAATTTATTCCTTATGTTGATATCCCACTTTACCTCCAAAGAGAATTAATGTGGCATTGATTGATTGATTGATTGATTGCATTTATATTAAACCGTTCCTCCAAGGATCTCATGGTGGTGATGTGCATGACCCTCCCCTGTTTATAGCTAAAGAGTGTCAGGATAGGTCCACATATCCTCTTGGTCATTTAAGCTCCCAGGGTTAGTAAAGGCCTATCACTGCCGTCGCAGCCTAGCCTACCTCACAGTGCTGTTGCGAGGAGATAAAATGCAGGTTTGGTAAAAGGATGGTTAAAAAAAGCCTTATGAGGAACAGTTGAGGGAATTGGGTGTGTTTAGCCTAGTAAAGAGGAGACTGAGTGTAGATATGATAGCCATCTTCAAATACAGTACTGGTACCCTGGGTTACAGACGCTCCAGGTTACAGACGCTTCAGCTTACAGACTCCACTAACCCAGAAATAGTACCTCGGGCTAAGAACTTTGCTTCAGGATGAGAACAGAAATCACACAGCGGCGGCAGTGGGAGGTCCCACTAACTAAAGTGGTATCTCAGGTTAAGAACAGTTTCGGGTTAAGAACGGACCTCTGGAATGAATTAAGTTCTTAACCTGAGGTACCACTGTATCTAAAGGACTGTCACATGGAAGATGGAGCAAGCTTGTTTTCTCCTGCTCTGGAGGGCAGGATTCAAGTTACAAGAAAGCAGAAAACAGCAGGAAGAACTTTACGATAACGAGAGCCGTTTGACAGCGGAACAGACTCCCTTAGAAGAAGGTGGACTCTGCTTCCTGTCAGGTAGATTCCTGCATTGCGAGAGGTTGGAATAGATGACCCTCGGGCTCCCTTCCAACAATTCCACGATTCTTCGGAGATTCCGAGGATTTCCACTAGGACATCCCTCCCCACGCCCCCGAATCTGCCCTAGGGGATCCCACCTGAAAGTAGATTTAGGGGGCAGGAGAAACTTCCCACTGCGTGAGCAGCAGAAGTCCTCGTGCTGACAGGACACGTTGGTGGAATACGATTTGGAGCAGCTTGTTGGAGACGCAGGAGGCAAACACGATGCAGTCAATGAGCTTCCCCCTAGCGCACCTCCCTCCCACCCTGGCAGCCTCACCTGCGCTTCGCCGAGGCCTGACTCAGGGCCTCGGCCTGCCGCCCAGCCCGCGGGGCCGCCCTTCTTCCTTTCCCCACGAAGCCGCCGCTTCTTCCCTTTCCATCCTCCTCGTGCGCGCAGCCCAAGAGACGCGAGTCTTCCCCACGCAGCACAGCCAGCGCAGAAGCCTCCCTCGGACGTGCCCGGAAGTGAAACAAGAGGTGATTTCCGGATCGGCGGGGGGCGGGACTTCCGCAGTTTAAAGGGCCACCCGCACGACCGAAGGCGCATCGGCACTTCTGGCTCTGCGTCCCTGAGCGGCTGGAAAGAGGCTCCGTGGAATGTGTAGGCGCCGCGGTATCTGGTAATACGGTAATGCGGAGCCCGTGGTGGTTTAGACCGGCGGACTAAGAGCGGGGTTCGAATCCCCCGCCAGGTGACGTTTGAACTGCCTCACAGGGTTGTTGTTGTTGTGTGAGGATTCAAATGGGAGAGGGGGCAAAATTCTCGACTAAATCGCAGGAACATGTTCTGGTCTTCCCCCCCCCCACAAAAAACAAAAACTCTGGTTTATACGCGTGGAGTTCTGTCGATATGTATGCGATAAAAATCATTTTTAAAGAATTAATAAAAGTACTTTTTTATTTTGAAAAAACGGAGGTGGAGGGAGAAGCGTTGTTTGCTACCTTGAGCTCTTTGGCGAGGGAGGGAAAGGTGGGATGTGAATGAAATGATTTGTTTGTTCCGTACAACTGATATAGCACTTTGATTGTATAAAAAAAAGACTCAAAGCAGTTTACAAAAGATAAAACGGTAGGAACAAGAAAGGTTCGCAAGCCTACTTTAAAACCTACAAGTTTTTTTTTAAAAAAAATGCTACATCAGATTAAAACGACCTTTCTAAGCATCTGAGTAAGCTTGTCTAAGCAGGAATGCTAATTTTAGCAAGCACTGAAAAAGAGTACAGTGAAGCTGCCTCCTTGATCTCAATAGGCAGGAAGTTCCAAAGTCTAGGCGCTGCCACACTAGATGATCAAGTTCTTGCAAATGAGGGACAGGTATTATTCGGCGCCTGTAATAGTGCCAATTCCACCAATCGGTATGGGGTAAGGCGATCTCGTAGGGATGAAATAATGAAATACAAATAAATGCAGTGCAGTTCTGCATCGTATGTATGTCTACTTGGAAGTGCTGCCAAGATCTAGGATTTCATCCTTAGCCTAATAATAGATCCCTGCCTATTTCGGAACTGTGTGTGGCAGCACACATCCAATTCATGATTCCCTGTGTAACTCTTCACGTGATCTCTTTATCAATTTAAACTCAAAGGGGGCACACTTCTGAACAGGTATGCATAGGACTGAATTCTTAATTATGCAAAATACACTCTGTTTTGCAGTTTGTAAAAAAATATGACAGTATTTGAAGCTCGAGTGGCTTCAATACTTTTTTACAATTTAATTTTTGTTACGTTTTGGGGTATATTTGATTTTCCAGTTAGTTTTGGGTTGAACATGGCAGGAACCACAAGTAAAGGAACGTCTGTCTTAAAGGACGTGATCATGAATGATTTCCCTTACACGGGCTGCATACACACCATGCACGACTTCCCTCAAAGAATCCTGAGAACTGTAGTTTGCTAAGGGTGCAGGTAATTGTAGCTCTGAGGGTAAAATATGGTTGCCTGTATTCCTCTGGGGGAAGCCATGTGCTGTAAATATATGGCATACATGTGGCCATGGTCCCATTCTGCCCTTTTCAAAGCCAAATGAAAATGAAGGGGAATTTTGACCATGCTTCACATACAATTTCATGTGAAACCATTGTAAGATAGTAGCGAAGTGCTGTATTGAGGAGACCCAGGTTCAAATCTTCACTCACTGGTCAAAAAATGGCTGGCCCTACCATTAGGTAAAATGAGGCAAGCCACTGCAGCTGGATGCTATGGGGCAAAGATAAAAGTTGTATGAGCCATGTGGTGCACCCTGTGTTATTTAAGCTTGCCTGTTGCTCTTAGGTGCGATGGAGGACTCTGCACCCACCAAAAGCACATGGTCCCTGGAATGTTGATTACTAGGGAATGCAGCCATTGGGCTTAGAGATGCCCCACCCCCAAGTTTATGGTGTGCTTTTCCCTGGTATCAATAAGGTAAAGGTAAAGGGACCCCTGACCATTAGGTCCAGTTGTGACTGGCTCTGGGGTTGCGGCGCTCATCTCGCTTTATTGGCCAAGGGAGCCGGTGTACAGCTTCCGGGTCATGTGGCCAGCATGACTAAGCCGCTTCTGGTGAACCAGAGCAGTGTACGGAAACACCGTTTACCTTCCCACCAGAGCGGTACCTATTTATCTACCTTGCACTTTGACGTGCTTTCGAACTGCTAGGTGGGCAGGAGCAGGGACCGAGCAACGGGAGCTCACCCCGTTGCGGAGTTTCGAACCGCCGACCTTCTGATCGGCAAGTCCTAGGCTCTGTGATTTAACCCACAGTGCCACCCGCATCCCTTTGGTATCAGTAGTGTACACATTTTTAATAACAACCAAGCAAATGGACAAATCACTGCTGAACTGCACCCACCAATATGTGGGCTGAGTTTAAGATGAAGAGGCTGTTTTAGGGTGGCGCGACTGCTGCAGTCACACTGGGCGCTGCACTGCAGGGGGCACCAAAACAATGCTGCAGAATGGAGTGTGAGAGGCAGGGGCTGCCAAATTTTAGCGTCACATAGGTGCTGAATTTGAGCATCTGCACAGCAAGGCATTGAAGACAGACCAAGATATTGCTATATGCTACGACTTTCAGGCATAGGGGTCAAATGAAACCTGGATGGACATGAATAACACCAAACATGCCAAAGATAGAATTGACTGGAAGGGGATTTTGGGGTAGAGACTGTACAAATCCACCTTCTCAAACTAAAAAGACAAGTCCCCCCCACAAATATCTGACCTTGGAAGAAAAGGGGTGTGTGTATGAACCAAGCATATTTCCAGTGGGTCTGCTATGTTTTGTTATGCAATGCTTTAGCTCTGTTGTGCACAAGTTAGTTAGTGGTACTTAAGAATGTGGCCCCAGAATCTATGAATAGATTCTGGGGCAGGCAAGTGAGCTGAAGGAGGTGGAAAAGAGAAACCTAAGAAGCTAGTAACAGTATATTTTTAGTAATGGAACGCCAGATTCTTGTTTGACACAATATCTACTTTTCTGCTTGTTTAAAATAATCTCTACCTGTTCCTTCATTCTATCAATTCAAATGTAAAGCAGAATCACAAAAAAGACAACCATTTTTATTAACAACAATTTTGCCAGTAGCAGTATTGAATCAAGGTGGCAAAACTTTATTTAATGAGGTAGGTACAAACAGTAGACCTTCTAGTTGCCTTTGTCATACCAGCATTCTTTAGAAACATTTCTAGAATTATTATTATTATTTTAAAAAAATCAATGGCCAACTTTCACCTATTTCACATTGTAGTAGAATCTAGTGCATTTCTATTTTTTCTCTAAGATGCAACATTTCTAATTCCAAGCCAATAAAAAAAGGGTGGGGGAACCTGAGAATTTGGAAGACTGGACATTTCATTCAGTACATTTTACAGTATAAAAATCCACAAAATGACTAGGATGGATCCAAACTTAAGTTCACCCAACTTAGGTCCCACTAAAAAGCAGTAAGACAAGTACCATTGGGTAGATCCAATGTCAGTCATAGTCAGAGCAGACCCACTGAAATCAATGGACTTAAACCATTTGCCCATTGATTTCAATGGTTCTACTCTGAGTACACCTTAGTTGGCTATCACCCATTGATTTCAAAGAGACCCAGGTTCAAACAACTTGACCCAAGTTCATACAACTTAAGTCCTGGGATCCAACCCACTTCAACAATCATTCATAAAGCTCCCTTCACCAACGGATCTTAAGAGCATTCATATAAATAAGACATATCATGCATTTAAGGCACTTTTGAGGACTTCTAAACCCTGCTTTCAGGGTGTGAAAACTACTTCTCCAAGATCTTAGTCCTGTGAATACTTCCACATAAAAGTTTTAGTCAGCAGCGCACATTTACAGTTTGAGGATCAATGCCCTTGTTTTAAGTGTAGGAGTGTTATTCAGTTTATGGAAACATTTAAAAAAATATAAATCCTGTTGTCCTTAAATAATTGTTAAGTTGAATAATTGAATATAAATCCTTTTACACTGCTTAAGATATAGGCAATGCTGTTTTCCAGCAGAAATTTGAAGCATAAATATTTGGCAGAAATGTGGTTTCATAACACAGTGCAGATTCCAAAGAGTTCACAGATGGTTCTATGTAGTTTTTCCAGCATCTGGTGACTAAGATGATGTCCACATTTGTTTTTCATCATAACTCACAGTAATAGTAAGTAACTGATAATTCCTGAAAGGAAAAACAAACAATGTAATAAAAGATTTTAAGTATCAGCCTTTTTGAAAATATGGGAAAATATTTCCTACCAAGAAAAACAATTATGGAATCAACAAAATATGCCCTGAAGAGTCTTCAAAGCATCTTAATTACCGGTAAGTCTGATTACACTGTCAGACTCAGATCAATGTATTATACATTTTTACCATTCCTTGTAACTCAAGTATTTCTTATAATACTAATAGTGATGCTATTCTTAGAACATCAGTAAGCCAACTCTTCCATATCTCAAATCTTTCAGCGTGTGTATCCAATCCCATTCAACCTGATCACTTTCTTTTAGACTAGAGCTTATCTAACAGTGAGAACTGTTCTTTGATTAAAAAGCTACTATTCTTAGCGGACTACTTTTCACAAAACTCATTAGGTCAATAGTTTCAGCTCATTAGTATAAGAAAATCAAATTAATTATAAGATGAAAGTCAGTTTGTGTTCTGTATTGTACTTGCATATTTAGAGTGGTAAAGGTAAAGGTAAAGGTACCCCTGCCCGTACGGGCCAGTCTTGACAGACTCTAGGGTTGTGCGCCCATCTCACTCTATAGGCCGGGGGCCAGCGCTGTCCGAAGACACTTCCAGGTCACGTGGCCAGCGTGACAAGCTGCATCTGGCGAGCCAGCGCATCACACGGAACGCCGTTTACCTTCCCGCCAGTAAGCGGTCCCTATTTATCTACTTGCACCCAGGGGTGCTTTCGAACTGCTAGGTTGGCAGGCGCTGGGACCGAGCAGCGGGAGCGCACCCCGCCGTGGGGATTCGAACCGCCGACCTTTCGATCGGCAAGCCCTAGGCGCTGAGGCTTTTACCCACAGCGCCACCCGCGTCCCTATTTAGAGTGGTACAGATGTAATTAACTCTGGTTGTAGAAGTGGGAAATTATGCAATCACCCACTCCTTCCCTCTCTTCCTCTATCTTGTGTGAATTCCCTTATACCCTGATGTTCTGCATTAGACCATTGCCAATGCTGACTAAAGCTGCTTCTGATCTTCATAATGCAATTCTAAAAAGAAAATCAAGAAGAAAATTTAAAAACAAAGAAACCCCTGCACAAATCAAATGTCTTTTGAAATAAAGACTTGACTGCCCTCTTAAAAATAGGTATGAAGAAGCACCATAGGTGTGGAAACTCTCTGCATCATGCTACCCCATATTTAACCTCACAAACGTGAGGGGTCTGGAACAGGACCATTTTGCTCAAAACATAGGAAATGGAGAACCTATGGCACCTCCAGATGCTCTTGGACTCCAACTCTCGTCATTCCCAACCCCTGGCCATGCTGTGTGTGAAGGAGGAGGGTCCAACATCTGGAAGGTGACAGCTTCCCCATCCCTGATTTAGAAATGTAACCAGCTAGTACCCAGAAGCTTATAGCCAACCAGTCTGATGAGTACTGGTGTAACATTAGGTCCTACACCCACTAAAAGCCAATCAGGTGCATTCTTCTGAGACCAGTAGCAGTTCCCCAAGTTATTTTCAACAGCAGCTTTGTAAATAGCATGCTGCAATAACTGATCCAAGGGGTTGCCAAGGAATCGAGTGGCACAGTCCCTGTGCTCCAGACAAGCCTAGCAAAAGCACTCTTCGCCATGACCAGAGTATCCAGAGCAAGTTCAGTTGAAGGAGTACTCCCAACAGAAAGTTTAATCCTTCCATAACTCAATTCCACTCTAGAAGAGGTAGATCTCCTTGACTATGTGCCCCCCATCCCTATGTAGCATTAACATTTCCATCTGATCGAAATAAAAAAATAAAATCTGGATTCAGTTTCAGTTTGCTAATCGTTATTTTGCCCCAAGCAAGCTCCAACATAAATTTGGAGCCATTACTGCTGCTTGAGTTAGAAGTTACTAGCATATTGATAGTGTACTGATCATCCATATAGTATCTCCCACTTGAACAACTGCCTCACATAAATACAAGTCTGCAAAGATTTAACACAGTGATAAAATTTGCTATTGTTCCCAGATAAGGATCATTGGGAAGCACCAAAATCATTTGTTTTCCTTTTCAATAAAACAATTTGGATCAGAAAATAGGAAAACCCCTACAACTTTACTTAAATATTTAAGGTTTGTAGGAAATAATATATACACATTCACAAGGAACTATGAATTATTACTTATCTTTAAGATAAGCAATTCATTAAGTTTGCTAAATGACTCCACCAAGTACAGTCATCAAACAATCAATGGGAGGAGGCAGTGTCAGGTACAAAGTACTGACCTAAGTTATACTTGTTGGCATCCGTCTGTCTTGAGAGACAATGGAGTGCGCCTCTGGGGGCGAAGTCAAACCGCTGTGTTAGCAGCACCAAAGCAGATTTTTCCCTTGTTTGAAATCTGAGAGCCAGTGTGGTATAACAGTTATAGTGTGCAAAACTAGGACTAGGGAGACGCCAGTTCAAATCCTCCAGCCATTAAGCTCTCACAGAGCACCCTTGACCCAGTCACCGCCTTGTTTTGAAACAAGTGACATGTAACCAAGGTTTATTGTTGGTTACAGCTCCTAGACGAATGCTTAACCATGAGCCCTGGTTCAGACAACATGCTAAGCCAAGTATCAGCCAGAGAGACTGCGGAAGAGCAAAGCCACGGTTTGTCTTAACAGGTTACCTAACAGCAGCAGTGCTCAGCCTAACCTACTTTACAGGGTTGTTGCGAGGACAATGATGTACTCTGGGTTGTATTCAATGTTATTCCTCCTCTTAGAAGACCCACTGAGATTAATGGACGTGACTAACTTGGCTCTGTTAATTTCAGTGGATCTACTCTGAGTAAAAGTTAGTAAAATGTTGTAACTCACTTTTCAGGAGGGGAAAAAACCTCTTTACAAAGTGGCACACAATCACAGTATCAAACCCATCCCTGACACCCTGCGGGGGTACCATACACATGGGCATAGCCAGGATTCATGTTTGGGGTGGGGGGACACCCACCTGCCATCATCCTCTGTCTATCTAGAAGATACGGAAATGTCTCAGCAACAATGGTTTTAAATTACTTTCTTTTGACCCCAAGTGCTTGGTGGGAAAAAATTCTACAAGTTCCAAGTATTATTTTTTTGAGTTATTTACCTGGCTGTGGGGGGCGGGGAGCAATAGCTGCCCTCACCCACCCCACTTTTAAGCTCCTTGGGGCTCAATATAGGAATGAATAAAGGCAGGGAGTTGGAGGAGGAGAGGCAAGACACACTTATCCAAATGATGATTATAATGATCATGCAGCTGCCACGAGTGAGTGGGGTCCTGCGGGCCCGTCGGGCGGCGCGTCCTCCTTCACCCCCCGGCACCCACCTCGCCGAGCCGGCCTGGCTCCCGGGCCTCGCCGTCCGTCCTCGCCTCGCCTGCTTCCTCCTCCTCCTCCTCCTCCTCCTCCTCAGGCCGGCTGGAGCTCCACCGAGCTGGATACCGTCGTGGCCATCGACGCCGACGCGGCGCTGGCGAAGTGAGCCCTCCTGACGGAGCCCGGCTGGCACTCGGGGGACCGGGAGAAGGCGGTGAAGGGCCCCGAGAAGCGCATGCTGAGGTTCCTGACGAGCCGGGCCAGGCCGTGGCCTGCGGGCGCCCCGACGGGCGCCGCCTTCTTCTTCTTGGTCGAGTGGCGCCGGAGCCCCACGTCGTCCTGCAGCTCGGCGGCGGGCACCTCCAGGTTGCCCACGTACCAGAAGACCCACCAGAGGAGGCTGAAGAAGATGCCCACGCCGCCGCCGTAGATGAGCAGGTCGGCGAAGAAGACGTCGACGAAGACGCCCACCAGCAGGATGGCCAGGCCCACCGCGTCGAAGAGCAGCGCCATCCAGAAGGCGCCCGCGCACCGGCCCAGCCCCCCGCCCAGCGAGGCCATGGGCGCCGACGCGGCGGGCAGAGAGGTGGCCGACTCCGGAGGGGAGCCGAAGGCGCTCGACAAGGAGACTGCGCTGGACCAAGGCGAGAGCAGCCCGTCCGAGGGGACGGCGCCGGGCACTTGGAGCACCTGGAGCGCCGCCGGCCCGCCCTGCGCACCTGAGGCCACACCTGCCGCCCCTGAGGGGGACAAGCTCCCCGCCTGAGGCGGCGGCGCCTTCCCCAGCGCCTCAGCCATGCTGGGCGAGCAGGAGAGAATCCCGCCTTACCTGAGGGACCGGGAAGGACACGCCCTCCTCCTCCTCCTCGCACCTGGCGGGGAGGGGCGGGGCGCGCGCACCTTGAGGCGGCGCGCGCGTCCCTCCCACCGCCGCCACCCCGACAGGTGTCCCCTCGTGGACTCTCCTTCCCAGACGCCTCAGGCGGTTCCCCATCGCTTTTCCTTCCCAACCCAAAGGGGAGAGAGCAGCACACTCGTGTGTGTTTGTGCAAAACGCACCCCAGGGATAGTGGAGTCCTTGGAGTATGAGACTCGTGGTCTCAAGGGTTGTGGAACTGAGCATGACACGGGGCAGGGCCTGATTTAGGTTTGATGAAGCCCTAAGTTACTGAAGGTAATGGGGCCCTTTATATGTCCAGCTGTCCTTTGTCAACAACAAATTGTCACTGTTTTTGTGTGTTGAATATATGGTATATGGTAATTTATGGACCTAATAGGTATCTAAAGCCATTTGCACAGGCAGAATGTAGGCACCCTACATACATCAATGAGCAAACCAGTGATATTTTAGGGAGCAGGCATTACTTACAACAACATCATAGGAGCCTACACAACACAAAACACTGTTGCTGTATGTAGGGTTTTTTTTTTTAATCTTATATTTTGGAAATGTACATCCAGGTTTTTTTCCTTTAAATTTTTTGGGGGCCCCAAGAGAGTGGGGCCCTAAGCTATAGCTTATATGTTTTGCTTATATGTAAATCCGGCACTGACACGGGGGTTGGACTAGATGACCCTCCCAACTCTATGATTCTGTGAGTTGCATTCTAGCCAGTTTTGGACATCATCATTGCGAATGACTCTTGCAGTTTATTTTAGGGCTAGTGCTTTACCTCGTGCTTTGGAAAAGGAAGTGAGATAATCCTTATATTACCAGGGAAGGACTTGCAGCATTAACATCTATGCATATTTACTCAGAAGTAGGAATCACTGTGTTCAAGAGTTAGCCATAGTGAAGCCTTTCAATTTTTGTATAAAGCTGCATCTATTCTGTTGAATTCCTGGTTACTGTTCTTAAAACATTTCATCCCTTGGAAAGCTGTTTATGGGGTCTGTACCATGCCAAGTGTATTTCAAAGCAACCTAATGAAGTTTAGTTTGGTCAAATCCATTTCAAAATCAGAATTAGTGTTCCATGAGGAAAACAACCAAGGGTAAGAGCACTTTTTTCCATCGGCTGTTGCGGGGGTGGGGGGAAGCATACTTTGTGCAGGTTGGCTGTGTTAATCCAACAAAAATAACAAAGAATCTAGTGGCTCTTTAAAAATAGATTTATTGCAGTAGTTAAGGGAACAAATGTGGAAACTGAGACTCTGTATACATTACTGTTTGCTTCAGCTCCAGTGTGCTCTCACCTTTTTGAGCTGAGATATTATCCACAATCCAGATGTACCCTGTAGTTTCTTGAGAAATATTGCTGCTTGGTGCATTTTCCCTCAGACCAGCTTCCATCCAATTTGAAAACATAAGCTATGGTTAAGCTATGAAGTGTATATTTCAGACATCTGTTCCACTCACACAAATGACAGCACATGAGCAGATGATGGCTTTGTTGAATAGGAGTTGGGGTGGCAGCGCCGGGGTAATGGTGTGTACAGCAACATCAGACATGACTTGAAACACAGTGGGGGTGCTAATTTGTACAAGCAAAAGCTTAGTCACTTGAACTTCATCTTTAAAAGGCACAGGAAATCTGCCAGAGGAATTTTTTTTACCGTCTTTACTTGAGTCTAAAGCACCATCGAATCAAATGTGCACCTTAATTTTCGCAGTGTATTTTGGCCAAAAAAAAGTGAGTGTTAGATTTCAGTAAATACAGTGTGTGGCATACGACCTCTTTCCTCTCTACTATTTTTTCCTATCACCACTGCCAATAAAAATGTTCATAAAATTAAGTGGACCCCTAATGCACTTTAGGAGGAGAAATATAAAAAGCTCTCCCCAGGCCTTTTGGCAGAAGCATTGTTTGGTTCCTCCTTAGAGGAGGACCGTTCTTCCTCCTGTAAAAAGCTCTGGTGGTTTATATCTGCTAGACGTGCAAAATTTCTCAAGAGGCAAAAAATTAAGGTAGTCATGTTGGCCCATTAGAAAAATTCTATGCACAGCTGCACTACTTTTATTTGGGAACAACAGAAAGTGGTGAGCATGTTTCCTTTATGCAAAGGAGAAGACCACAATATTTATAGGAAAAAGCCAAAGCTATATTTGCAAGCAGGATATCACTTTAAGTATTTTTTAATAAATGGGGTTTATTTAAAAATTACATTAAGGATTGTAATAATATGAAGTCTATGGCAGCCTTTGAATAGCTTCTGTAATTCACTGAATAAGTTAAAGAAAGTACATTATCTTTGAAAAATAATTATTATAAACAGAGATGAATAGTGTGCTGGATAAATCCATAGTTAAAGTTATATGGAATTGGCGGGATGTCACTGGAACCAAAAGAAGACTGTGATAAAGTGTAACAGATATTGATAGTTTTTTTGTTGTTTATTTTTTTATTATGGATAACTATGATTTTGTGTTATTTTTAAAAGTTAAATAAAGCAATTTAAAAAGCTAAAAATAATAATAAAAAGATAGCACTTTAAAAAGTATGGATCTCAAGCGCTGAAGTCTGTAGGGCTTCCTGTTAAAAGTCCATCATGTCTCAGGGCGTGCTTAATAATGGGTAGCCACACCATTCCTGTAACGAAGAACATGAGTCCAATGGAAAGACAAACAGGCCCCAGGGCAGATGGCACATCTACAGTGTGGACCAAGTGCAAGGCAGAAAGGCCAATCCCACTAAGAAAGACAAGGAGTCCAATGGCAATCAATGTAAGAGGCTTATTGTAGTACACCCAGTTGCTTTGTTCCCCGATTATAACGGCCTCGTTCCTTGTTCCTGAAGGGAAGTTTGAAGCATCAACAAGAGATGGTAGCCCTTCATGGGTGGGGATTGGCTTTATCACAGACATGCCACAAGATGTACTCCAAAGAGCAGAGGACCTAGAAAGTAGGACATGCTTAAGTCATTTAGTCTAGCCAGTAAGAATCAATCTTTATTACAGTCCAGAGACCCAACAAATTGTTACAAAGCAATGCACAATTCAGACAGCCTACCTCCAGGTTAAGCAAGCGTTTTGTGCCAGTAAGAATATCAAAAAGACTATTCAGTAGAATGTAAGATAATTATTCCCACTCTCTTCCCCCCCTCCTTTCTTTTTCCCAACCACACGGTGTTTAGGACACCAAAAGCAAATGAATTGTAAAAAAGACTGTGAATTGAATATGGAGACACTATAGGTACTTTTCCTTGTTTATTATTTTTTGTACCACAAGAAAATACTTAATAAAGACTATTTTTAAAAAGACAATGATTATTCAGAAGTTAGGTCCATCCATCTGAGCAGCAGATGCACAGGAGTTAGCCCCAGCCCTGAACTCGCATGCCCTGCCACCTCTGCAAAAGGGAAGATTTCATGTTCACGGTTTCATGTGCTTTCCTTTTGCAGACATCGGCATGGGGACCAGGATAAGTTTTCAGTTCAGAATTTATATCCCACAGTGGTGGCTGGTGCAAGCAGGACACTGCGCCACCGACCTCGGTCTGCCCTTTAGCCAGCCCCCACCTGCCTCTCTTAACCAGTTATGGGGTAGCTCTGCCTGTCAATGGCTGTACCATCACATACTGTTGGTCTCCCTGGATTAAGCGCCATGGCCACCAAACACCACATGGAATCCAACAAAACGTAGTTATGACAAGTGGGAGCTCAGAAAGAGACATACTGGTAAATGAAACAAATATTACCAAAATGCTTTAAATGTCCACTGTGCACTCTCATCTAAAGGAAACCAAAACCCACTGCAGTAGCCCTGGAATATCTCACTCATAATTTATTGCCTCAAGTAACATTTCCATAAGATAGCATTCATTTAGTGTGCTAAGGCAAGAAAGTGAGGAATCGGGACCAACCCACTTCCACCCCCTGATCACATTCAGTAATAAGAGAAAATAAATATTAGCCGTAATCACTAATTGGCAACAGGCACTTGAGATGTGTATTTGTAATAAACCATATTGAGTTTGGAGTTTATGTTATTGAATCGTGAAGCAAGCATTCAAGTGGTCCCCCCCCTTAAAGTTAATAAATGCCTGCTTTAATCTAATCAGTATTGATCAGATTACAGAAAGAGTTTATTAATTCTAGTGAGAAAAACAGCAGTTGCATACTTGCTTTAGAGACAGATGTTCTGTGCACATGGAGAAATTATAACACATCATAATGCTATCTAATACCTAGGGACAGGTGTGTAAATACACAAGTGGAAACACAGTGCTGTTTTTGACAAACCTTCCACAATTTCTTCCGACTGCTAATAATGGGTGCGGTGCTAAAGTCAGAAAATATAGAGGGGTTCTTAAAGAGTTGTTTTTAATGGTTCATGCAAGTAAGAAAATAAGATCTAAAGCAAAACAAACACCATAGGCCAGTTCCCTGCTATCAGCTGAGATAAGAGTTCTTCCATTAGTAAGGACAAAGTTCAAGATAGGAAACTCTACAATAGCTTATCTTTGATAGCCTGGCAATGTGAAACTAAAACCTGGCAGTATTGCCTGTAGTTCGCATTATACAATGAAGAAAGCTGAAGCAACAAATTATTTAAAAAAAGAGTTCGTAAGAGCATATTAATGTTCTAAACCTTTAAATAAACAATAGATCAAACAAGGGTCCATCATTTTAAATTAGGGCACGACGTCTCTGTGGATCAGTGTTAGAAAAGCTGTTGTTGGAATTTAGCTCCCATAATGATCCCACTGCCTGCGGCTTGATGGGAGTTGGTGACCAACAAGATTGGGGGGGGGGTTATTCCCAGACTTGCAACAGGAGGGCAGAATTTTGCCTTATAGTATAATCCAAGGATATGAAACCTATACTACTACAGCTGTTGCTGGACTACAGATCCCATCA